ACAGATATATATATATATATATATATATATATATAGAGAGAGAGAGAGAGAGAGAGAGAGAGATATGGAGGGAGAGAGAGGGAGAGAGACAGAATCTACAGATTGTAAATAGCCAGACAGTTAAATACGTAGTTATATAGATAGAATAGACTAGAAAAAGTGAGAGTGATAACAAAAGGTGGAGACGACTAGATAGATATATAGATAATTAAATAGATAGATGGAAGTAGATAGGGAGAGCGGAAGAGCGAGACAAAGCAAATTAAAGTGCGAGAAAGGAAGATGGAGAGAAGAACGAGGAGCGAAACGAGACAGAAAAAAAGAACGAGTTAGGGACAGGGAAAGAAATAGTAATTATTTTAGTATAGATTTTTACAGTTAATTATGTGAGATTAGAGTAATGCTGGGCTTATTTTATTTCTTTGACGGCAAATGTCCAAATCCATGTCGAATCGATAAAGAATTACGATTAAAAATACAGACTTAATTACGTAACAAGAAAATCTGTTGGTGACGGGGTGCCCACTCTCGTTTCTAGAGGTATAAAATGAGAAAAAATCGTTGGTGGATGGCAGAAAGTTGCAAATCTCCGACCAAGCTGTTTAAAAATCACTAAAGGTATTCAAGTTAATTCAGTATTTTCAATATTTTAAAATTCATATGTGTCAGGATCAAACTACTTGCTGAGGAAGGCATTTTAAGTTATTAAAAGTAAAGAACGTTCAAAGAACGGATGTGCTATGTCTTCTTGTCTAAACGGTTCTAGGGCTTCCTCTTCAATTCCCGTATCTCTGGAATTGTTACAGCTTTCAAAAAAAAAATCAATAACTTCCCTTTTATTGCATTTTGGGGCATCCATAAATCACGTTTTTATATTAAGGTAAAGTGACTATTCAAACTACATTGGTTTACTCTAAACAATTCAACAATTCAAATTTGTTAGACGTTCTGTTTGTCTACAAATTCTTGGGAAATAGAGGTCAATGTTAACACTGAATGAAGCTATTAATATTTTGGCCCAGCTGACATAGTTAATTTGCTCTATTCCGTTTTAAAATTATAATTATGTTGCTATTATAAAAAAAATCACCCATAATTTGTCATTATTGATATATGGGGTGTTCAGTGACCGTTTTGTGATGATTATTTGGAGGTCGTGAGATGCGGTCTGGTGTGACGTAGGTTTTAGAAAAACATTTTCTTTATTGTGTAGAAATGTGTAGAGATTAGTGACCGTTAATCGATAGTTATTCAGATATCGTGAGATGCGGTCGGGTGTGATGTAGGTTTCAGAAAAACATTTTCTTTATCGTGCCAACGTTCGATCTTTTATTGAGATCATCTTCAGGGCTCAAAGTGTTTGTCTTCTGTGTAATTGTGCCATCCTTGCGTGTCGTGGCACTCTCAACACGACACGCAAGGATGGCACAATTACACAGAAGACAAACACTTTGAGCCCTGAAGATGATCTCAATAAAAGGTCGACACGTTGGCACGACAAAGAAAATGTTTTTCTGAAACCTACATCACACCCGACCGCATCTCACGATATCTGAATAACTATTTTCTTTATTGTGCCATCGTTTCGATCTTTATTGGGATTTATAAACATTGTTTAAATTTTAGAACTGGATGTGGAAAAAAATGAATTTATACAATGCTATTATTGTATAATTTTTTTTTAAACTAAAATTTTCTAGCATTGTATAAATTCATTTTAATTATTTATTTAATTGTTTTTTTTAATCTAAAATTTCTAGCATTGTATAAATTCATTTTTTCACATCCTACATGAGTTTGTAAAATTTAAACAATGTTTATAAATTCCAGGCCTGAAGATGTTCTCAATAAAGATCGAAACATGGCACGAAAAGAAAATGTTTTTCTAAAACATAACGTCCTCACGGCCTCCAAATAATCATTATTGATATAGTTTGTGAATTCTGACGGTCACTCTTAAGTTTGGAATATAAAATCTTTTTAATTATGCGGGTGTTCCGCAAGGTAGCATCCTTGATCCCATTCTGTAAACAGTTTACACAGGAGACCTTATCAATCACGACACAGTACTCCTAACATAAATATATGATATCGCCATCTTTCAACAAACCTAGTACCAGTAAGCTTGCAGAAACATCAAGGACTATCTCTAGATTTGAAAGAATAGTTCAGGAAATCGAGGATCAAACTCAGCGAAACCAAATCCAAGCGAATAACTTTCACACTTCGCCTACGATCCCTCCACCAGATGATTGTAACTTTACATTGACAGAAGACTTACTTGGAATCCCAACACTCGACCCAAAAAAATAGAACTGAACAGACGATATAAACTACTCAATACATAACAACAGATAGAAACTCTTACTACAAAACAAACCTGTCACATATACATCTTTACTACACCCAAATTGGACTAGAGGAAGGGCAGTGCATTTCAATCATGCGTTCCACCTTCCAAATGATCCATTAACGCCAATTCAAATGCTTCGAACCATAGCCAAAGTCCCTACATCATATATAATCTTACTATTCGCAGACATCCAAATCCTAAATCTCTTCGAGATCCTAAAAAGTCAATACAGACGCCTCCACCGTAGACCCACATTCCAACCCTCTCGTCTTACACCTTTCATCCCGAACCCTTCCTGACTATCCTCCATGACGCCTAAAATGCCAATTAAGACCCCAGTTAGGAAAGTTAATATTTCTTCACTCTTTTGTTTAGTATTTAGTTTCTTAACTATGGCTTAACTATTCTTATTTGATTGATTCAATTATTAATTAGACAATATTTAAAAAGATATAAAACACTTTCGATTTACAGTTAGAATTTAAAAAATCAAGATAAATTTATTCATCGTCGCCTTATATTAAGCAATGTTTATTAAAAATTATTTTATTACACTTTGAAGAATGAAGTTATTACTCACAGCAGCAAGTCTGTTCTTATGGCTGACTGAAGTGTATCCTGCGAGTCGCGCACTACCCTTCAACACGGATGAACGGAATGATCAAGTTCAGGTAATTAACTTCATAATTACACTATAGATATATGATAAATGATTTCACAATACCCATCTGAACCCAACTGTAAACGAAATATGCTTATTATGAAAATAAGTCTGGCTATAAGGGCTGTTATTTTTGAAGAGATTTCTCTCAGATCTTTCGCCGGTTTGCAGTACACAGTTAAACGTTTTATTTATATTTATACAATGACAAGATCACGAAAATAACACAGACCAACCATTCAAGATGGAGACATGTCAGAACACATTGCACTGAAAAAACCAGCGAGAATAGGCGGACCAAGATAATAATTTCATAATAATTATTAAGTTATTATCAAAGAGTTATTAAGTAATTTCAGTTTATTATTTTATTTTCATTATGAAGATATATTTTTTCGAGGTTTTTACTAAAAAATAATACTGGATAGATAATTGCGATAATATGAAGTGTTCAGTTTGCATCCTATTTTTTTGAATGAAGGCCACCTCATTTCACTTAGAAGTACTTAATAAGACAGTTTAAATAGTTACATTTGTGCTTTGAAACCAACAAACAAAATGTGTATTTTTAAATTTCATGTCTTGAATGAATTTTTTTTTTTTTTTTTTTGTATCCGATACAGATTAATTCAAGATTCATACATCTTGAAAATTTGTTTATTTGATTTTCACCACTGGCACTTCAGTCAACAATGCTCCTGGAGGGCACATGTCTTGAGATGCCAGCCTAAACTAATATTATCACTGTTGAAGGATTAGGGGGCAAGTAGGATTATTTTGGGGGTTAGAGATCGTGTCTGGAGGATTTCTTGTTTATCAATTTGTGAATATGAAATTTAACTTTTGAAATCATACTGTCTCGAAAAATCTGATGGCGACATGAGATGGTGGTGGCATTTCAAAGATCTGTCATACGTGATGTCCTTGACGTGCATCATACACACGAGGATGATGGGTGAAGTTTTGTACAAAGTAGGGTCTGAATAAATTTGGTCTTTGACGTCTTCCTTGAACATTTTTGACCAAAAGAGATCTTTTAATTTAGCGAACCACTGTGCTACATCACTTAATTATGCCTTTTCCAAAAAGAAACTCCATAATGTCATCGGTAAGAACGTGTAGAAGGAGTGAATTTGAAACAATAAGAAAAACAAAATGAGTCCTAAAACTCCCTAAATTTTGATGAGAACAAATTCAACAATATTTTCTGTCACTTTGGCATTATTAATCAGATTTTCTTTTTTACAGTTTTACGGAATGCCTGGAAGTGATACCAAAGACATGGCACTGTGGTTATTCGACCTGCTGCAAAAAAACGATCACGTTCAGATCAAAAGGAACTCAGAAATAATCAACTCTCTCCTTGGGTTGCCCAAAGTTCTCAACGATGCCGGACGTTAAGAAAAATGGATCGGACAACTTTATTTTGATAACCGTTGCACATGCACATTGTAGAAAATTATTTCATTTACTAATCAATTTTAATTACAACGTTCTACTTCACAAATAAAAATTATATCAAATCAAATTCAATGTTTTTTCTTTTTATATAAACAACACAACTTTGGTTTATGCTTTATAATTGAAGTGAATTAAAATTTTGTAATTAAACTAATGATGTTGGTGTAATTTTCTTATAGCAAGAACTCAGTAGAAATGTTATAGTAGGCAAGGTTAATTTAATTTTTTTTTTTTAATTTTAACATTTTTTAATTGAATTGTTTAATTTTAATTTAACCTTACGTCAATTTAATTTTAATTAAATTATTTATTTTTATTAATGAAGGATGACCATTTTGGTAAATCGAGGCGATCAGATGGCCAGTCAGAGAAATTTTAATCTGTATTTTTTAAATGTTATGTATTGAACGATTTATTAAAAAAAAGGACGTTTTTACAGTGATGAACCGATTATGTAATTCTATTGTAGTAAGGCAGATTAGTGGGATAGGTTTAAAGTCCATTAATAAAAATCTTTACTTAGAACAGTTATAATGAAATAGTAATAGATAAAATAAAATGAATAGAATGGAACTGTTCTTTTGACAAATTTTTGATTACACCATTTACTTGCCCATTAAATAGACCATCCTCTTACAAATAGTTTTAAATTGAACTTAAATGATTATTTTCAATTTCTTTAAATTTACATCTTTTAATGTTAATAACTGTATGTTTCTCTTGGTTCATCCCTTTTTACTGGTTTTGTTAGTAATGTCAACATGAGCTTTCTACTTATTTCAGAATGCCAATTCCCTACTTATAACACAATTATTCACAAAAATATACTTATAATCCTAATTATATAATTAATAACATCCTATGTCTACTTTTTATACCGTACCGTACCATTTAACAAACTAGTTTGACATGGCACTGTGGTTATTCTACCTGCTGCAAAAAAACAATCACGTTCAGATCAAAAGGAACTCAGAAATAATCAACTCTCTCCTTGGGTTGCCCAAAGTTCTCAACGATGCCGGACGTTAAGAAAAATGGATCGGTCAACTTTATTTTGAAAACCGTTGCACATGCACATTGTAGAAAATTATTTCATTTACTAATCAACACAATTTTAATTACAATTTTTATTACAAGGGCAAACCATCGATGGTTTCTCCATCAAATCTATTTACCCATACAGACACAAACGATTTTATCTATGACAAAACATATAAAATGTATATGTACATAAAAATACACCCAAAGACGACAAAACCGGACACACGTATTTTGTTGTTTATTTGAAACTACATGTATTTTTATCTTGCATTAATTATAACATACTTATTTTAATGTAAACCACCTTAAATGAGATCAGAAGTTCATGATTTTTTATGAAAAGTATTTAATTGTGGTTTGAAAAAAAATTGTCTAAAACACGGTAAAATCATTTAGTGATAGATTAAAATTTAACTAACAATTTATTAACGGGTTTTGCTCTTATCAACGCGTATCAACTGCTCTGGTCCAGAAGGAATGTCAAAGGAGTTCTATTCTACTATTTTTAGACTGAAGACAAATCATAGCCTGTGGGGTAGCTACAAGAAGAGAACAGCTCCCGATGTTCAAGTGTCCAAGCGAGATGATGATTTGTCGTCTTTCTACTTGATGACTTTCCAGTAGTAGAGAACCTGATGCGGGATGTCTACAGATGGTTATTCTCAAGCTTATTCCCCACCCTTACACTATGGACCGTTTGGAGTTGACTACATATCAAGGAAATGAAGGTCCCGTCGTGCGGCAAGAGCAATAAATCATCGTTTCAAGCCGTCGTACATCTTTTTGAGATCATCTTCAGGGCCTGGGATTTACAAACATTGTTTACATTTAACAAATACATGTAGGATGTGGAAAAAAGTGAATTTATTCAATGCAAAATATATTTTTTTTTTATTCAATCAAAATATTTCTACTCACTCAAAGTGTTTGTCTTCTGTGTAATTGTGTCATTCTTGCGTGTCGTGTTGAGAGTGCCAGTGAGATATTGCTGTTTTATGTTTATATACATTGGATTTTGAAGTGGTGGGGAAGGAAGTCAGGATAGAAAAGACATTTTGTATAAGGCGTCGGCTTCTTTGAGGTGAAAAGAGCCGACAAATGGAAAAAACGTTGGTAATGGTTCAGCCAGATTATCCTTTCAGGATTATATAGAAAGGGATAAATGGGAAAAAGAAAGCTAAATTGTTGAAAAATTAGAGTATGTGAAAATGTTTGATGTGTGGAATGTGATGTGATGATGTATATATTGAATTTGATTAATGATATTGGCGTAGCTGCGACTGAGTTTACATGTATCTGTTCTGTAATTGATGCTGTGTTTATCTCTGTTGATATAAACCATTTCTAAAAAATTACGTTTATGTTTGTTTTGTTCTGTGTGTAATATTTTTGGATTGTTGAAGTCGAAATTGTGTTTGTGTTCAAAATAGTGGGTAGCGAGTGCTGAAGGATTTTGCTTGGGTTTTTTGCAATCATAGATATGTTGCTTTACTCTATTGTCGAGATATTGGGATCTAAGTTCAGTTCATTTGAACAAGAAAAAGGCGCAAATGTTTTCCATTTTACAATGCATGTAAGTCGTGCGGGTTTAGTCTATAGAAATGTGATGGTGACGATTTTTTTTCCACCAGCCTAAACTTCCAATAACTTGTAATTTATCTCTTTTGTGTTTTCAAAGAGTTGCGTGGTTGTTAATTTCTTTTTTCAATCCAGTTTCTTTTGCCATGACAAGTTTAATTTATTGTAAGATAGTATTTCGAGCCTTCTAATTAGCCTAATTTTCTGGAGGGCGGGATGAAATATGAAAACAAGGAATCAGTTGTAAAAAATTTCATTTTCATTTTTGTTATCCTTATTTTTTCCATTGTGAATAGTTTTATTAATTAATATTGTTAAGCCATTTATTGTTGATGATAAATTTTACCACCTTTCAAAAATAAATGGCCTAACAGTAATGAATTAATAAATTGAAAAATCTTATGATCAAAAGACCCTGTGAATCTACTAATGAAAATAAGATATTGTCCTTCTCAATGGATATAGGATAATGAATAAATATGGGAGAGTGCGAAGTGAGATGTGCTCCCCCCCGTGAGGGTTCGCAACAGCAGAGGTCATATAAACCCTCAAGGTGCCGGTGTTTTTGAAATAAAAGCCCATTTGTAAGTATGTCGGGTTTGAACCCGGGAACTTTGCCTTACAGTGATGAGCGCCGTGTCAACGCTTAAACCGTTAAACCATTGTGGCCACCAACCATTAGGAGATCTTACTAATAATATTTTAAAAACTATATAAAATTTATACACTAAAATCCCATACCACCACCACTCTTTTGCTAATCTTACTAATCACCAAATGAATAGAAATAGTAATGTTTTAGGAGTTTACTGGCTCCTTTTGAAACTATAATATTTCTGATTCTGGGACAGATCTGACCTATGTGCCATATCGCATACACCTGACTTATAGTCTTATACCACCTTTTCCCTACATCTCTTACCACAACGTCACTACGGTGGGGGAGCCAATCATGTACATGTCGCTCCTGATGTGACAGTACACAATTAACATTTTTGTCTCTGTAAAGAGATAGGTTTTTGCAAATTTGTGATAGTTGCAGAAGATACAACCAACACAAACAATATTAATTAATCAGAAAGCTGATAATTGATTGAAATACTTTTTATTTTAAACAGAGAACACACACAAATCAATTTTTAGTTGTATACAATGTACAATGGCAATTGCTGTCTGCCATCAATCGAAAGCAATTTTAAAAAATTAAAAAAACAAAAAAAAAAAAAAAAAAAACGAAGTTTAGGATTAATATTAAATCAGGCACATGGTCATAAACTGAACTTACTCAGTAAAAATTGTTTTGAGTGATTTACTATTTTTTGTTGTTTCCATTTTAGTTTTCTTCCCATATGGATTGGTAAGGTTTTGTTCCTTTAGCGCTTAATCATTCGTCTACTGTGCTAATCTCTGCTAAAAGATTTCATGCAAGTTGACCAAGTTGATTATGTCTAGAAGAGACAGAAACGACAAAACATATCCTATACAATACCCTCATATCCAGAAAAAGACTGGGGTACCTGGGAAAACTATTCTTGAACTGTGTATCTTAAATCTTCTAAAAAATCCATTAGCCCATTAGCAGATCAGCATAATAGACAAAAGTTTAGGTGCTAAAAGGAGAAACCTATACTTCTTCAAATTGTGGTGAAAAAACACTTCTAATGGCAAGGAATAATCTGACGATTTATGGATGAATAAATGATCCATTTCATCTGTCAGATACGTTTCATCATTTCTCCATTGTCAGTAATTGTCTGTATGCTATTTTGTCAACCATATTGTTTTATAAGATAGTAAATGAGACTGATCCAAGGAAAGGCATTGCAGACTTTAACAAAATATTTTATACTTTTACCCTTTTCTTCTATTACATAGAATTACAATTTGATCTTTAAAAAAACACAAAAAATGAATTGTAGCTGATTTATATTATAATAAAAATGATGATTTTTGATCTTTTTTGATTTTTTATGATCTTATGAATCACTTGCACAAATTTTATACTTATGATTGTGGTGCTCATAGTTGTAAAGTCATGGTGCTCATAGATTTATTCATGAGTTTGAACTGACAAATGACAAAGTGATTTGATACATGAATTGATGATCCACATTTCTAATATAAAACTTGCTATGGATAATTTTATTAATTTTATAGCACACCATGGTCTTCTGACATCATGACATCATTATAACCCTATTGTTACCTACCAGAAATATCTACCTGTTGATCCCCATGACTTCTGTCAGTTGCTCCCTTCACTGTGTTTTTGTTTTCAATAACAAAATGCTGAGGAAAGTTGGTTCATGTTTTTTTAAGGAGTTTGAATGAGAATTTTGTTGGAAAGCCTGATATGGTGAGTTGATAAATAAAAATAATAAGTCTATCCTAAAAGGTTTTATTTTCTTTAAGAAATTCAATAAAAACTATTTACTTTGAAAGCATTGTTAAAAATTTCACTAGCACAATATTGCACAATGTAGAAAAAAACAAAATACTGCATGTAAAAACATAAACGATTAAAATCATGGGAATAGGTACATCATGTCGCAACTTCTTAAGTTTTCACCTTCGTACTTTGAAAAATCTACAATAGAAAAATTGTCATTCCAAGCCAACTCTTTTATACAACCGCTAAATCTTATGTTAAAACTTCCGTTGGTTTCCTCGATGACTTTGCGTTCTCCAGGAAATCCACCTGAAAAACAAAAATTAAATGTTCATTTATAATGTCATCCAGGACAAAAATGACTGGTTCCAACCTAGATAGAAAATTCCATCAGTGAGAATTGTCATGTTGGATTTGTATGAATGAATAATTGTCCTGTCAACCCAGAAATTCAGATCTTTTTCATTGCAACGGATAATAAGATTGTGCCAAGCGCCGTCTGCCATTATTGAGCCTGGAAGAAGTACTTCGTTTCTGTCAATATGAGATTTTCCCCATACAACTTTTATTAAACCTCTCTCAAGACCAAGACCTAAATAATTACTTCCCTAGATAAACAATTAAAAACATAATTAATTCTATTAAAAATTAATTTGTTGTTACTGCTGTTAATTTTTTTTATAATTTTTTTTTTTACCTTGGTTGTCCAAAGAAGCATACCATCATATTGAGCTGAAGAAAAATTAACGTAGATGTATGTTATATTTTGATCAACTCTTTTATCAAATGGACTGCCCATTTCTCCTTCCCGTTTTGAAAGGCCGTGTATGGAGTCTACGATTAAATAACTGTTTCCACTAAAATGTGGCGCAGTGTAGTCAACACCTGTCATAGTTCAAAATAATATAATTAAACAAAATAAAATTCATACTTTGCTAAGTAAATTTACCTATGTTACAAAATGGTCCACTCCAACCTGGTGGACAGTGACATTGGCTTTTCTTCCCTTGTTTTTCACATCTTCCCCTATTCTCACAGCCTACCTCAGCACATGAAACTTGGTTTTCACACCTAAAACCATTGTATTGCTAAAAAAAAATTAAAGAACATTATTTTTAAATTATGGCTTTTAATATAGGTTTGATTATTTAAAAAATATACTTGAAGACATGTGCACATCGGTTTGTTGTCAGGTGTGAGCCAGCAACTGCCTCCATTCATGCATACATCCCCACCACAAGCTGTACCATCGCAATCTTTTATATTTCTTGCAGTAATTATGTGGTGGTTGTCGAGAGTTACTGATCTCCAGTTGATCCACAACTTTCTAACGCAACCGGAAAGGGAGACCGGCAAGCCAGCCATAGCTCCACTAGGGAGTTTTGACAGATCTGGTACACCACCTTAAATAATATAAAAGTTAGTAGTTTTTATAGAAACATTGTTTAAGCAGATGAAATGTAAATTACCGATGTAAAGCGGAGAGTGGGAAGGAAGAAGTATTTCACCAGGGAGTAGAGTACCCGCATTTACTGAGCCTTCAACCTGCAATTTTGTATTGTTAAAATTAAATATCATTATAAAAATAAGTAAATCAGTAAGAATTTTTTTTAATCTACTGTACATACAATAACATTGAAAATACTACAATACTGTTTGGGATCATTAAGAGCTAATGATTTATCTCATTTAATTAATAGCTTGTAGCTAGATCATTCCTAATCACCCTGGTCTCTTTTCTTAGTTGTTTCATCTTTTTGTCATCTTCAGTGGTTTGTTTGTGTGATATGTTGTAACAAACTGAGTAGCTATTAGGTGTGTCGGTGGCCACAATGGTTAAGGCTTTAACATGGTGCTCATCACTGTAAGGTAAAGATCCCGGGTTCGAATCTAGCGGCCCTGCATTCGAACTCAACATACTTACACATGGGCTTTTTTTTTAAACATCAACACCCTGAGGGTTGATAGGACCTCTGCTGTTGCGAACCCTCGTTATTAAGTATAGCACATATTAAAGGGCACAACTGATAGATGATAGTAGATAGGCTAATACTATTATTAAATAACCAAAAACAAACATTAATAATTGAGGATAATCAAATTACATATTACCAGCAGATCTGACCGCAGTAGTTTATAAAATTGATGCATAGTCTATGAATATTAATATAAAATATATTATTTTACTCTACTCATATTTAAGGCTCATACTCATAGTAAAACACAACTGTGCTAAGATTTAGTCTGTCTGTTTTTTTGTTTTTTTAAATTTTATGACTGCTTTTGGACAATACTAGCCAAAGAATGTTCTATCTCGTTAGTGTTTCCTCAATAATTTATTATTAATATTAAGCATTACACTCCTTGTGAATAATTAAAAGTTGTTAACTTACTGCGCAATATTTATTAATGCATATTTTCAGATAGAGTTTTAATCCTCTTCAAACAGAAAAATATTTATTTATTTTTTAAGTCAGTGTCTTAATATTTACGATCTCTCTATTTGAATATCTCAAACCCTTGAATTTGATGAAATGTATAAATTTAAAAACTTCTACTACCTTACCTACGGATGACATCGCGATTCCTCTTCTTACATTGTGGCCCTATCCTTGTAGCAAAAGCAGCTCAAGAACACCTAGAGGACGTACCTGCCTACCATATACAGTAGGCTGTGAAGTTCAGCCAATCCATCCAACATTCAAACATACAATGCTTTTAACATCCCATTCCTGACAGATATGATCTGAACACAACTTCCCCTCAAGCACTCCTTCCATCAATACACTAACTCAAGCCCTCTCTTCAAGGTCCCACCCTAACAATCCTCCATCCTGCTTAAGAAGACAATAGCCCTATGACTTCCTACTACAACAGTAAATCAATAAACCAACAATCCTAAATACTGAAAGTGCCAGTAAGCAGGCTCCTCCCTTGGTCTGACAGGTTCCTGCCAGATCTGTATTTTAATGTTTCGTTATATTGTTAAATATATAAATTCTTTATAGAAAGCAATAAAATATTAATAATAATAGTAATAATAGAAACTACTTATAATTGTACTCATAGACATTTAGTCTCCAATACTTTGTGGAATAGCACTCACCAACTCAATATTCTCAACTTATAATGACAATAATACTTATCAAACAATTTTTGAAATATTATTTATTTATTTAAAAACAGGATTTTGAACAAAAACAGAAACAAATCCGTTAAAAAAGGCAATTTCATAATTTATTATATAGCAAACTCTTTTATATAATTTTATTACCTTGCTTCCCCCCCCCAAAAAAAAAGCGTAAACCTGAAAGTCGTTTTATTTAAAGACCATAATGAACCATGACCATGAAATACAAACTAAACATGTTAATGACTTTTATGATAAATTGTTAAAACGTATTTGTATAAGATAATTGTCAGCAATCATTGTACTCTATTTATCCTCCGTTTGAATAAAAAATAAAATGAAAACAACATTTTATGTAACAATTATGAAAAGAACGGTTGACTCGAAAATATAAATAGTCTTCATATCAACAAATATATTTATAACAAAAGTATAAATAGTTTATTAGTGATGTCACGTGAGAATCGAGTGAAGTTGAAGTTTATCCAACACGATATTTTTTACAGTACTTCTCATTTCTCAGCAATGATTGGTGGTACAACTGAGCAGTGCACGGGCGACTGATCGATTAATGGATATTCGAGTTTAAACTCGAGTTACTTTCTATGTATGACTAAACCCATGAGTTGTTTTTTGTTCAGTAATTTGTTTATATTCGTCCACTATTCGTTTTAAATTATCATAACTCCATTAATAACTATTATGTTTTTTAATTTTAAAAGAAGAATATGCCACAGTTCATCAGGAAGAAATCGAGGAAATCCTTTCCAGTGAAGGTTTGCACTTTGGACGCGGAATTGGAGTTTTCCTTGGAATGGAGAGCTACAGGAAGGGATTTGTTCGATCTAGTCTGTCGTACGATAGGCCTGAGGGAGACCTGGTACTTTGGATTGCAGTACGAGGACTCGAAAGGGTTCATCTCGTGGCTCAAATTGGATAAGAAAGTCCAGGACCAGGTAGTCTCTCAGCAGCCGACGACACCGTTTATGTTCCTTGCTAAGTTCTACCCGGAGGATGTGGCTGACGAACTCGTCCAAGAGGTGACACAGCATTTATTTTTCCTTCAAGTGAAACAAGCCATACTGTCTATGGACATTTACTGCCCTCCAGAAGCGTCAGTCTTGCTCGCCTCTTATGCAGTTCAAGCCAAGTATGAAGATTATGATGAGTCTACTTACAAGCCTGGAATGCTCGCAAGCGAAGACTTGTTGCCGCAGAGGGTCATAGATCAATACCAAATGACACCGGAAATGTGGGAAGACAGGATTAAAATTTGGTACGCTGATCACAAAGGGATGTCGAGAGATGAAGCCGAAATGGAATATTTGAAGATCGCTCAAGATCTTGAGATGTACGGTGTTAATTATTTTCCTATAACGAACAAAAAAAACACAGAACTCTGGCTCGGTGTAACTGCCTTAGGTTTAAATATGTACAGTAAAGATAATAAATTGACTCCTAAAGCGAACTTTCCTTGGTCAGAAATTAGACATGTTAGCTTCGATGACAAAAAATTTGTAATCAAACCGGTCGAGAAGTCAGCTAGTAACTGCGTGTTTTTCTCAAGGAAAGTGAGAATGAATAAATTGATACTAGATCTTTGCATCGGTAATCATGATTTGTTTATGAGACGCCGGAAACCCGATACAATGGAAGTTCAACAGATGAAGACACAGGCCAAAGAAGAAAAATCGAGGAGACAGATTGAACGGAACAAATTAGCGAGAGAAAAACAACTAAGGGAGACTGCAGAGAGAGAGAAATCTGCTCTTGAGCAACGGCTGCTGCAATACCAAGAGGAGATCAGATTGGCTAACGAAGCCCTTAGGAGATCAGAGGAGACAGCAGAATTGTTGGCAGAAAAATCGAGGGTGGCCGAAGAAGAGGCCATGCTCCTTGGTCAAAAGGCTAATGAAGCTGAGCAGGAGCTAGCAAGAATGCGGCTCACAGCAATGAAAACTGAAGAAGAAAAAATGAGTTTAGAGAAGAAAACTAGAGAAGCAGAACAGTTAACTGCTCGGCTTGTAGATGAATCTGAAAGAAGGGCTTTCGAAGCAAACAGGCTTAAAGATGAACTTTTAAAAGCAAGACTTGCAGAAAAAGAGGCAAAAGAAAAGCTTTTGGAATTTCTTTCTCGAAACACATACATAAGTACAAGTATGAATTCCTTGTACAATCCTGGTCCTGTTTTAGAAGTCAAGCCTCTCCCACTTGTTGAAAATGAAACAACATTGAGTACAACAGATCTAACATCATACGAATTAGCACCAGAAGGTGATATGGTACAATTGTCTTTAGAAATAGAAAAGGAGAGGGTCGATTATTTAGAAAAAAGCAAACACCTGCAAAATCAACTCAGGGATTTGAAATCAGAAATTGAAGTACTTAAGATAGAGGAGAAACAATGTGAACTAGACTTACTTCACGATGAACAAGTTAGATTAGGTGAAACAAAGTATTCTACATTAAGAAAAGTAAGATCAGGCTCCACTAAAGCAAGGGTAGCCTTTTTTGAAGATTTATAGTGTGAAAAAATATATACAAAGACTGGTTATTAAATTGTAATTGTTTTAAAAAACATATTTATAATGGAATGAATTTTAATTAATTATGCCCTTATTAATAAGCATATTGTCCATTAAACCTGACAATGTTAAAGCCTTAAAATGTGATATTCAATTATTAAAATGTAAATACTTAAATCAACCTTTAATTTTGTATGTAATAAAAAATATGTGCCTTTTAACTAGATAATATTCTGCTTTCATACTCCTACCCCCAAAGTAAATAGTGAAATGTGGTGAGGTCTGCGGTGTGATAAATAAGTAGATTTATATGATCCTGTCTCGTCCTAGTCTACCTCTCATTTTTGGTTTTATGTCCAAGAATACATTCCTGCATTTCGCCATCTTCAGTCTTATTTTGTCAGCCATGTCCTTTTATAAGTAATAATCATACTATATACACTATAGTACACTAGTATATATTACAATATTTCACCCCTCTAAATATTGTAAAGGGCAATACAGAAACAGGTGTGAAAATATCAAAATGATAAAATATGTCTTGTTTAAAACCAGTGAAATAGACTACCCAGGCAGGCATATTAATTGATCTATGTCCTTCAGTGGTCACTCCTGAGTGACAGTGGTGCAATGAAGCATACTTTTTTCTTTTGTTTTAAAGGTTTTACAATATTAGCCAGACACGTAATTCAGAGAATGCGGTATTCGTGGGGGGAGGGTGTTGTGATTTTTTCAAAAGGGGCCTAGGGAGACTGTGGGAATTGAACCCAAAACAGGGGTTCTACTAGCCGAGAGTCATCACGCTGACCACTCAGCTACCATGGTCCGCCGCCCTAAAGCAATAATTATGGAAGTTGTTAAATTCTTTTGGATTTTCATAGAAAAAATATTTCCTATCATTCACTTGCAGTTGGCTCTTATTGTTAAATACTCATGGTTTAATAGTATAATTGTGAGGAAAGTAAACCTGAGTTTAGACTAACCCAAAGGAAGATACGCCTCCCATATCTACCAGCTCGTACTCTGGTCCACTGGCCCAAAGCAATAACTTGTCCACTTCTCACGATTAATATCTCTCCATTTCTTCGTTGGCCACCTAGAACAAATTGAAATTATGGAAAAAAATGTATAAATAAATTGTGATTTCTTCTCATCGTCTGAGTGTGACAAAATCTATACTTCAGCCGTTTTGTGATCAGAAATGAGATTCGAGTTCTGCTCATTGCTCTAATTTTTTTCAATTCAGTGGTACTTTCTATAAGAAATAAATCAAATAATAAATTAAATTTATTATTCAATTCCATTTATTATAACTATTTTACATAATAAACAGCTGAATGTTTTTATTGGCTAATTGAATGTTTCAAAACTGTTGGTTACTTTATTTCTCAGCAAGCGTAAATGTGTGGATATTCTGTAAGATACTGTACCAATTGGTTGCAGTCTTAGTTCTAAAACTCCACCATGTAGAGAAAGAGAAATAAATGAAGTCGAAGGTCCTTGTGACTGAGAGGAAAACAAAATAATTCCATGAGAAGCAATAGGTCTTATTTCGATATCTATACAGGTTTCTATTAAATCTAAAGATGCTGGGGCGATGCTCAGATATGATCTGTGACCAGAAAATCCAACATCTGATAAAGATTCGTCTGAAAAATTGTAATATTTTTTATTAAAAACAAAAAAGTGTTAATTATCATTAAAAAATTGTACCATTTTGACAAAATTTCCCCGATCTTCCTAAAGGGCAATCACATTCATATCCCATAGATAGTGGAACACAAGTAGACCCTTCAGAGCAATTATGCCTTGAAGAATCACAAGGATTATAACGAATTGCACACCCTGCTCCAAACCATCCCTCTTGACACAAGCACCTGCATAGAAGCATAATTGACAAAGATGAACAGAAATTATAAGAAAAATTGACAACCTACGTGTATGTTGCTCCATGATCCATGCACGCTCCATGATGAAGGCAAGTAGAATTGTTACAATGTTTTGTTGAACATTGGCCAACATTTCTTCCAACTGCATCCCTTGTTCTTTGAATCATAAGTCTTACTTTCCCAGCCCGAAGTTCGACATCAAACAGACATCCAGAAAACCCTGTATGCAATGGTAGATCATGAGGCAGTCCACTGAAATTTTGACTTTCATGACCACCTGTGAACATAAAAAAAAAGAAATGAAATCTTTAAACATCAATTTTTGTATTCAAGGTTTTTTTTGTACCAATATAAATTACTGGTTTAGTATTTAGTTGGGAAAGCCATCCTGGAGATGTACCAGTAACATTAGGCATATTGTCCACCTGAAGCCAACCGATTTGTCCAGATCTGCCTAGCTTTACAGTATGTATCTGTTTCCTCTGATTTGAATCTAATACAGCCTGAGGAGTAAATATTCTTCTTGGACCTTGAGCAGAGGTTAATCTTATGACTGAATTTCATTACAAACTTAAATATAGAACAAAGATACCTGAACCGAGGTTCCAAGTCAAAACAACATATCCTTTTATTAAACTAACTGCTAAATGATCTGAACTGGAATCATGTGGATGTCCTTGGCCAATAAAAACCATTAATGATATCTGCTCTAATGAAGATGGTATGAATCGAAAATGTAGTTCAAAACTGTGATGAATTGGACCTGGCAGTGGATAAGCCGTGTAAGATGAAAGACCACTGATAGAAGATGAGAAATATGGATGACCTATTTCAAGATCTGCAAATTATTTACTATTATTTTTAACCACTTGGAGCACAGGGTAAAAACACGTCACCTTGGTCGCAGAACATCCCATGTTTTCCCAATGGGCATAGACAAATAAATCCACTCCCCGGATATGGAATACAACTTCCACCATATTTGCAGGGATTGTTCAAACATACAGATTTTTCACACATATTGCCAAAATAACTATAATACAAAACATGATTAATATGTTAACATTTTAATTATCGCTTGTACTTACCCAGATGGACATAAACAATTCCATTTTTGCCCAATTTCTATACAAGTCGCACTGTTCTGGCAAGGGTTCGATAAGCAAGCCAGCGATTCACATTCACTAACTTCTAAACCATCGAGTGCTTGAGAGTACAAGTCACGGCTTATATCATTAACCTGAAATAAAATATAAATAATAAATATAATAAAATTGTAAAACAATTTCCTGAACAATAGTTTTGGAAGTTAGTGGAACTGGCACTGGGTCCGTCTGTACGCGCAGGTTTTGATGTTACTCAAGTGCGTTTCGGCTTTGTGCCACTTCAGTGAAGATAATCAGAAATTATCAAATTATAAATTGCTTGAGATTATTATATTTAATATTAGATATTAGAATATATAGATAGAAATATTATTTTTTTACACATATTAGACAATTATTTGAACTTACACTTAATGAATGCATACAGGCTGTTATTCCCTGTTTTATAGGCAAGTCCACTTGGTGTATTATCAGAGAAGGAATTCCTCCAAAATAAAGAACTCCTGACAGCATGTGAAGATATTTTGGAAAAGATACTTCTTGTTTACCGCTCATTGAGAGCGTCCCGTTTAAAAGCACAGTTCCATTGCAATGATTATAAATCCCACCCTTTTCATAAAGGTGTAATCTAGAGGAAAAAAACTGGTTCATCACTGGTTATATATAATTGTAATTCAAACATTTATAACTTACAACAAAGCTAGTTCTATTTCAAAACCTGTATTAATCGAATATTTAAGCTCACTGAACAACATCGTTTGGATTCCGCAAGAAAACTGAAATCTTAAGTAGCCCCCTTGAAGGTATAACGTCATGTAAACTGAGGACGACATGTGAGCATACATAATGATCCCATCATTGGCCAGCGTTCGAATTTTAAATGATATTCTAGTGTGCGTATAATTTCCAAAAGAATGCAAAAGATAGGATCGGCCTTTGAAAGCGGCAACTTTGATACCTTCTGCTTCATCACAAAACTTTCCCTTCCAGCCAAATGCACAATGGCACTGAAAATTTTTAAATTAAAATGACAGACAATAAAATAATTTATTTGTACACAATAGATTACTGTTAGATATACGATTCATTTAAATTTAATTTAAAATTCCTAAGAAATTACATACATTTAATTGATTAAATACATAAATTTAATTGAACATTTACATTTATTTGAAATTACCTTTGAACCTTGTGTATAATTAGTGCAAGTCCCTCCATTTTGACATACAAATTTGGAACAATCATTCATTGATTCTGTTGTGTATGTTGGCTCGTAAGAATATCCTGTTTCAATGGGAAAGCTTATTTCCTTAGATGTGTAATAATCCGTAGAGAAACTACTTTGTGTGGTCCATTGTAGTTCTGGGAATTCTGTTTCATCAGATTTACTGCTTACACTAGTTGTTAGAAAGTCATGAATTGTAGTAAAGAAAGTAATCCCTGATTCAATTATTGTAGTATCTGTAGATTTTAATGTAGTGATTTTTGAGTCCCTGGATGAGCCACTTTTCATCGGTGTAATGGTTTTATCTGTTGTCAAAGTGCTTTCAGTAAATGTTGGCACTTGGTGATCAAAAGTTACACTAAACTTATCATTTGATAGAGTTGGTATATTTGGCATAGTTGGTATATTTGTTATATTTGGTATAGTTGTTATAGTTTGGCTACCATTTTGATAATAATCAGTTAAACTTACTCCTGAACTAGTACTAATTTCAAATGGACTATTTGTAAATCCTGAACTAAATTTTGAAAAATCTTGGGTATATGATGTTTCTTTCCCTGTGACTGTTGTTGTTTCAGTTGTTATATAATTCTTGTCAGTTTCATCAGTCTGCCCGGGTGAAGAAAAATCTATTGGCACATAAGATGTAAGCTCAGTTCTTAGTGTACTTTCTATACCAATACTAGAATTAGTACTATAAAAATTTGGGAAGGAAGTTACATAAGAAGTCTTTATTCCATTTTGTACTGATTCTGTAGTACTAGGTACCACAGTATAGAAATAGTTGCAATTTAGTTTGCCAGCTTCATTGTACTGACATTCACAAAACCGTCCTGTGAAATTTTCTGTACAAGAACATGTATAACTGTCGACTCCATCAATACAACTCCCACCATTTAAACACCTGCGACATGAACATAATAAAAAACATACAAGTTTTACGTTGAACTTCATCATCTTTAAATACACTATAACTCAGGCAAACTAACCCAGGCCCTTTTTGACACTCGTCGTACTTAAATTGGCATCTGTCACCATGAAAGTCAGGAACGCAATAACAAACACTAGTTCTACCTTCAACTACACAGAGTGCATCATTTTCACAGGTGTTTGTTGTACACAATTCAACTTGGGTCTCACAATTTGAGCCTGTATATCCTACATTTAAGGGAAATATATATTATTAGTATATACAATTAAATTTTATATAATTTCATTAATTTACCATAAGGACATGCACACACGTACATTGCATGCATGTCAATACAAACACCTCCATTTTCACAAGGAGAAGATGAACATTCATCCACAGGAAGATCACACAATCTACTAGTCCATCCTTGAAACCAAACTCACTTATTTTCTCCATCTCATATAATTTTAAAAGAATTATTAGTGATTTTAAATTAACCTGGGAGACATCGGCATGAAAATGTTATTCCTGGTCCTTCAATACATGCGCCTCCATTTGCACAACGAGTTTCATCTGTTGTGTTGCAGACTGCCATGTCCATTTCACAATTGTATCCTAACATGGATATTCAAAAGTTATTAAAAAAAAAGATGCAAAAAAAAGAATAATAATAATAATAAAATACCTGAATAGCCAGGCTGGCACTGACAATTATATCCATTTGCAACATCGAGACAAGTTCCATTGTTCAGACAAGGATTTGAGCCACACTCGTTTATATTTTCATCACACGTTTCCCCTGATAAATATTACAGAATGTGCTTAAGTTGTATTGAAGATAATAGTTTATAGGATAATTACCAACAAACCCATCTGGGCATGAACAGTTAAAAAAAGCTATCCCGTCATGACAAGTGCCTCCATTCTGGCAAGGAGAACTCCAGCACTCATCCCAGTTCGTTTGGCAGTTTATCCCGGTATACCCATCAATACAGTAACATGTATATGAACTAGTAACGAAACTAAAGCAGGTTATACGTATACTTCACTTATAAACATGATTTATCATTACCCATTCACTGCATCCATACAAATCCCATAAACGCATGGGTTCGTTATACAAGCCAGACTAGCTGAACACCTTACAGTGAGGCTGGTGAAAAACGCCACCCAAAGGTATGTGAACATCATTCTCCTTAAGATTCAGCCTCATCTTCAAACATTTCACCCTGATCTCTCCTGAATTGTTAAACATTAAGACTAAAAAAAGTCCATTAATCATGCAACTTTTGCTCTGACACACATACACACACATTCTCTCTCTTTCTCTCTCTCTCTCTCTCTCTCTCTCTCTCTCTCTCTATCTTTCTTTCTTTCTTTCTTTCTTTCTTTCTTTCTTTCTTTCTCTCGCTCTCTATCTATCAATCTATCTCAGTAAAGATTTGTATTTTATTTGTGTTGAAAGTCTGTTAGAAGATGGTAATGTCAATAGCGTCTGACAGTGATTTGATCAAAACTATTGTCAACCTTTCGTCTACTCGGTTAAGTAAAAAAATTTCTTAAATTCAGTTTTGTTCTAAAATTTTGGTCGACTTAATAAACAAATGCGACCAATTTTGACTTTGGATTAGACACTTTGTGAAAAATATACTTCGGTCTTCACGAAAACAACGGAAATATACTGTTGTTTCTACTTTACTAATAATATCTCTAGCTAAACCAAACGGACAGTTTGACTTTAGAAAATGTGTAACCTATAATAAATTAATTGTAAAATGTTGTAATAAGATCACTCAGTTAAATACTGTTAATACGCGTTTCGGCTTTCGACATCTTGAGCGTCTGTGCGTTATTTTGTGAGTAGTCTTTTTTTTGTATGTTTGTGGTGGATAGATGAAGGCAACAAGAATAGGCAGACCAGGGTGATCATGCACTATTAAATTACTAAAAATTCATCCTCTGGCAATCTTAATGAATATTTCATAAAATAATAAAATTACTATTTTTTAGCACAATAGCAGCAGTAAAAAAATAATTATATGTTAATCAGAGTCTGTATCATATTTGTATTTAATAAGTTGGTCAACGTGTTTTATCAAAATAAGCATAGAACTAAGGAAACAGATTTTTAACCATTTTCATTCAGATTAAAGGAAAGACCTTTTATTATAATGCGAAATTCGATTTATATTACAGTAAATTGAATTTCCTTAATTGACGCCCAAATACAAATAAGGTGTGGTCAACCATTCCAACGGACCGAAACGAAATTACTTTTCGACTTTATAAAGTGAAACGTTTTGTCCTTTTCCGGCTTTGTACACCTAGTTCAACATTGGAGGGGCACTTAATGTAGTAGGACCCGATAAAAATGGTAAACAATGCCAGTAGAGCACAGGATATCCCTTCCAGTTACGTGACAACTGGCACAAAACACAAATATCCTTGCTAGAATCAGTTTTGCGTACATCCACATTGCAGTTGGACTGATTTAGAATTGTTACTTTGCTTGTATTGAGTACCAGCTTTGAATTTTTTCTCTTTTATAATCTATAAACGGTAAGTTGACATAAGTTTCTCATATCTTTGGTCCTTAAGGAAAATGGCCATTTTGGAAGCTACTGGAGTTTTGTATGACCTTTACGTTTTTTACACATTTCCAAAAAATTCAAATTGTCCTTATTGATCGATTGCATATATTAAAATTAATTAAACACATTTTATTTGAAATCTATAATTATATATAGTTAAAGATCTTTAATTTAGTTAAGGCTCTTTTTTTTATTTGAAAACCAATCGCATTTAGCTCAATATTTAAGCAAATTTATTCAAATTAATCTTGGATCTTGGAATTAGTACAGATAATAGTGCAGACTAAACAGAAAAGAAGAAAACTGGCTAATTTAAATCCTTATTTTGAATATTGTTCGTTCTGGTGGACTATACATGCAAATCTATACCTAATTCTTGTATTCGCATTGCAGTAAGACTTTTTTCAAGTTAGTGGGCTTTATTGATCAATGAGGTAATTACGATTTGTTAATAGAGAATATAGTATAGTAGTAGTAGTCTGTAAGTTCCAGGTTTGAATTTAAATTTTTCTGACAGAACAACAAGAAAAATAAGTTTAGGTACTCTTAATTCTAGGTGAAGTCCACTGTCAGGCGTTTTAATTCACTTTTGGCAGCCCTTAGTAATAATTATGTAAGTCGGCTTAGGGGTCACCTTATTTTCTATTAGTTCAAGTATTCAAAAGAAATTTACCAATAGCTAAAAGATAATCTGAATTTTTTATATTAAGACAAATTGAAATCTATTTTAGTTTTATTAATTAAGGGCTACTCGACCCTCAGTATATAAAACCGTGTTGTACCATCTATTTCTAAACAGCACTATAAAAATAAAATTTTGGATATTTACATGATGATTTTAAATGCTGATATTTATTTTTTGAATGTTATAAAGTTGTAAATTTCTCTATCTCGCGTTATCTTCAGGGTTGAAATACTTCCGTGATGCCTTTGGAATTTCGATGGCTTAAAGAACATGCGATTCTGAAAGTAAAAAAAACTCCCCTTGTCTAAAGACAACGCTGACAAGACTGCATTTAAGGCAACTATTACCCTTTCGACCACAACATGCATGATCGTTCCCTTGTTTTTTTAACTGGTTTTATTACGAATTGTATCAACCCGGCCACTCCTCCCACGCATTTGCTTCCTTACAACGGGGTCGTTATTGAGATAATGGCCTTATTTACTATGTTATGATGATTAATGACCAAAATAGTAGTAGTATATTTATTTTTGTGAGATTCCTTGTTGAGGGGTGACGAACTTGTAGTCTGATCCTGGTCTGCTTATTCAACCCCTTTCAACATTTCATATAATGCGTAAAAGGGACACAAACGAGAAACATGCACAGGCTAGTCATTTAATCCTCGTTGGTTTTCGTCTGTCGGAAGCGTTTTAACATTCGCCTTCTTAAGTTTATATTTTTTCTGTTTCTTTCAAACAACCAAACTACGTATTTAAATTTGTTTACTTTAATAAGAGATTAATTATTTATTATATATAATTAATTGAAATAATTAAATAGGTCACTTATGATCTCTAAACATATATGGATTGATATTTATTATAATTAATTTAGGTTTTTAGTTGAGATGAAAAAAAGTTAATGGCACGAGCGGGATTCGAACCCACGATCTTCGGCTAGATACGCCGAGGTCACGATAGCTCAAGTGGTAGAACAGCGGCGTATCTGGCAGAAGGTCGTGGGTTCGAATCCCGCTCGTGCCATTAACTTTTTTTCATCTCTACTAAAAACCTTAATTAATTTTAATGTATTAATTGGTCAAGCGGACCACGAAATTAGTGAATTTAATATTTATTATATATTTTTAGATAGCTTATATACGATACAGGTTTACAACTAATTACATTTTTCCCTTCCAGTTTAGGTAATTAATTGTACAATTTGTCATAAACAGACCTAAAAGTCACAGAGAATATTTCTTTTAACTCTGGCTTGATGACCAAAGATTTTAAACATCGAAATATGGCTTGTATGAATTGAATTCGTAGAAAGCATAAATTTAAGATGTTTTAAATTAACGCTAAAAAGACTGACATTGCCGCTCTAAACTTCAGTTATGACCGGTTATTTGAAAGAAAAAAATCGATCATCTTATTTTCACACTATTTATACTCTTTCAAGTTTAAATTTTATTCACTCGACATATTATTTAAAGAACTGAATATTACTCAGATTTTATTGATTGTTTAAGAGTTACATATCAGTTGTTTGATTAATACAAATTATAGGATTTTATTGCGAATCTTAACCATTTTTCCATGACTTACGATTAAAAAACAGTTGTATATGTACAGCGCCAATGTTAATACTAAATGAACTTTCTTCTTTGAAGAAAGTTCATTTAGTAGTTCTTTAGTTATTTATTAGTTCTTTGAAGATATTTAGCAGGAAATTAAGTTTTGGAAAGTTTGGGCAGAGTTGATGCCGATCGTTAAGAACCGGAAGTAGAAAGGATTGTTTTTTCACAATTGATTTTCATGCTTATCTGCCGATTGATTCAGTCGTTAAGAGTCTAAGAAGAAAACCGGTTACCTTAGTAAATAAGGTAAATAAGTAAATAAAAGGCTCTGCCCCAAAGATGACTTCCTATGTTTTACCAGTATCGCTTTAAAATTTGAATTTCCTGTATTTTTCTACTAGAATGCCGGCAGCGAATTGACGTTTTCTAAGTTTGCTTTTATGTTACAAAAAAAAATTCCTGGGTAACTATTGACAGTACATAACACGTATGGAGGAATTACTACATTTTATAATATATATATATGTATGTATATTTTTTTTTATATAAAATGAAAATCCAGAGTGAAAAAAACCTTACCTTTGGCACGGGCAGTCGACTACTGGACGTTTGTTGAAGGGGGCATGTTGCTACAGCAACTCATAAACAACAATGAATACTTTGCATGACTAAAAGCACTCAACTAGAGTAAACCCTTCTACGATGTAAGCCACCCATCCTTCTTTCGTTTTTACAATGTAATGACAAACTATTTGTCTATCGCAAAATGGGCAAAAATAGAATCTTTCGCCCATACCCATACGTCAAACTGAAACTTATATTCATAATTTGGCCGTGAAATAACTCTGGTATAAATTGAAATATTAAATTTGGTAATAGTAAGAAAGTAAGTAAAGTAATGGTAAGACAAAAACAAACCGGACATTTGTATTTTGTTTTATTTTTCCGGCATAACAAGTATAAAGATGAGTTAATTGGTTTTGTAAATTTTTTTCTTTGTTGAAAATAAATTTGAGTAAAAAATTAATTGTTCATTTTTTCTTAAAATCAGGGCCCGGACAGATGCTTTGGCCAATGGATATATACCTAGTGTCCGTTAATTATCTCAAGTCCATGGTGCGCCGAGCTCTATCATCCACAATGATACTCATAGGTTTAGAACTCGATCGACTAGATAAGTCACTACAGGACCTTCATTTCCTTGATATGTAGTCAACTCCAAACGGTCCATAGTGTAAGTATGAATAAGTGTGAGAATAGCCGTCTATGTACGTCCCGCATCAGGTTCTCTACTACTGCCAGTAGGAGAAGCATTGAGTAGAAAGGCGATTATTAGCAAATCAGCATCTCGCTTTGACACTTGAACAACGGGGGCTGTTCTCTTCACAGATGAGTGCCGGTTTGGTTTAAGGCAATCAGATGATGGGACCGTATGTGGAGAAGAAGTGGAGAACGCTGATTCATGTTCCAGCGTAAGTCACAGCCTTTTCAAAGACCGTCAGTTATGGTATGGGGTGGAATCACGTCCATCCCCGTACCGAATTGATTATCATACATAATGGATCTTTGACCGCATTAAGTTATATTGAAGAAGTAATTCTGGAGCCTGGTCCCATTCGCTCCATTTATTGGAGACAACTTCTTCATGTTAACGCATGATAATGCTTGATCGTATGAGCTGTCAACTATCGTTTGGAAGATTATCGCAATGTATCGGATCTATGTATAACACAGAAATGTGTTACAGTTCTTGGCGATGGTGGGACTGAGTCGGTCTTAAAGGAAATTTGAGATCGCCAGTAAAAAAACTTAAATACATATGTCAATCTGTGGACATGTTTATACAGATTGGTTTTCCCAGATGGTGACCTTAAAATAGGTTAAAAGTTTGGCATTAGCCACTGAATTTGCTTCCTTGACGGAGCCTTGATCCAGTGTTCGTTATCCAAGTTTTCTTACATCGATTTGAAAATTATTTAATTATTTATTTTTTATTTGTGTAACACTTTTCTATTTCACAAATATTCGGTTTATGCCAGTTTACTGTGATAGAATCAACCATATGCTGATTTTATTTCCGAGTGAAATATTGGATGAGGTCAGCGAAGTGAGTCAGAATCGTATCGGCATTTCGCCACTTTCAGTTGAATGTTATTTTGTCAGTTATGTCTTATCATATGTTTAGTTTATTCTCCACGTTGTTCTAACGCAGGAGAAAAAACTAACTTTTGACATTGCTGGACCGGAATATGCAGATTAGGATGATCTGGGACGATCAAATGGCGGATTTTTATTTATTGCTAATCCCAAGCTGCGCTTAAGTAAATTTGATAACATCGTAGAAGACAAAATAAAGCATAATGAAAAAAGGCTACTTATGACAAAAAAATGACACTCAGGAGGAGGCTTCAGTCGTGGGGGAGGATTATTTGGAGAGGTGCGGGATGAAAAGTTTCTTACATGTGAATTTGTGTGACAACAGGATAATTGTTTCTGAAATTCCTTGCAGCGTGTTTTCGAGGGCATATTGGATATTAAGGTCCTTGTGAACATAGAAAGAAGCATTAACGATAGTTCGAAAGATGTTGAAGGATTGGATAGGCAATTTGTAACGTTCAGTAGAACTCTAAAGTTCGATGCCGTATGTCCAATAATATTAATGAATCGTTTATTTAGTGGAGACAGTTTTAATCATTTAGTACGTACTATGGAAGAAGATGGGAGCAGTGGTATTCTCCGAAGGGTGAAGGTGACATGTTCACTTTTTTGTATGTTTACGTCATCTACCACCGCTTAAACAACTGCTCAAGAGATGTGACATGAGTTTGCAGGTTTCTGGTTGAGATGACTTCATGTGAGGAAAGGATGGTCAGAAATGATCATCCACATAGGTAGTAAGGATCGTTTCAGAAAAGGTAGGAATGTTTGTGGTACATTCTTTCTAGAGGATGGGTCCTAAGATGTGGATACCTTGTGGTCCTCCTACATCTGTGGGAGAGCCGGCAGATAGAGAGAGGCCATTGATGACTTAAAGTATCTGCGGGTTAAGTAGGATTTTAGGATCAGGTAGTAGTTAAAAGGGAGAAGTTTCTTTTTCTTCCAGAGCAGCCCCAAGTGATATAACCAATCGAAGGCTTGCTTTACATCTAGTATTCACACCGGAGCGCACTCCTTCTTCTCAAGAGCAGTAGCAATGGTGTTTCCAACGCGATGGCACTGTTGAGTAGATCTGGAGAACGTCTGAGCCCAAACTGTTTACAAAAATGAAGGATGGGGAGTATGTGTTTTGGCAGGAGTTGTTTTTCTAGGATTTTGCTCATTAGAGGCAATAGAGTAATTGGACGTATTGCTGACCTGCTATTCTCAAACGGTCGAATTAATCAACGGTTTTATTGTACTTTTATCAAAACGACACGACTGACAAAATAGCATACAGACCAACCACTGACATCGACAGAAATGCACAATAGTGTCTAGAGACCCAAAACAGTGAGGATACGCAAATTAATATGAAAAAGTTCATCACCTTGCACACCTTACCAACATCTTTCATACCACTGAGCAGAATTTATGCTATGCTTGAAATCATCAAATACATTAATTTACTTAGATTCTTTTCTTTCAGAGTTATTCAAAAAATGAATCAAGATCCTGGGATACTGTGTTTCAATCATTGCGGCTTTAGAGTTTTCTGCAAAGAGATACCACGTTATTGTCCCGTTTGCAGATGTGACATTAGCCAGAGTCAGAATCTTCTTCCATTCAGGTAAACAAATGGTATAAGAATTAATAGTAACTAATTAATTGCTGTAATTACTTAGGGTTCCATATCCTTTCATGAGAGCCGGCCAGTACCCTTGCGCAGTTGTTATAAGGCCTACAAATGGGAATTTCCTCAAGTAAGTGCAAGAATTTTGTAATACCATTCAATTATAAAGATCCTTTGTTGTTGATTAGCGATTATCGACCTCCGATGGATCTGCATATCGGTGTGACAACTTCCAAAGGAAAAGTTTTAGAATATGACAGCGAAGGTCTGCACAGCGACCGTTCATTCGCTTGGAACCAGTGCATGGTCGTATTCCAAGCGATTGAAGAAGATTACATCGCCAAATGGGACAAAATGTTGAACGAAGTCGCTGGGCATGACTGTTGGACCTCTCAAAGGTAAAATAAATCTCAATATTTTACGCTTAAAATTACCACTAGGTGTTTTTAGGTACAACGAAGAGACTTTCAATTGTTATACCTTCGTGTTGGCCTTCTTAAGATGTCTTTCTATAGAAACTATAAGCGAGTTTGCAAGGAGTAAAACCAAATTTTGCGAATATTACGTTTTGCCACTGACGAGAAACGCATGCAAGTACATAACGCTATACAGACGGGTCAAAGACAGCGGCTATTTTGTTAGCAGGTCGCAGAATATGTAAGCAATGGGATTTTTCTCAATTTTATTTATTTATTGTTTTTATCACATATCGTTTGTAGAGTCATTACAATAAAATGATATTTGCAAAGCTTGTTTTTATTACACAAAAATAATCAAACAAATCCAAGTGAGCACACAAATGTGCTGTCTTGTCGAAATGTTTAGATGTGAGAAATTGAAAGCAGTGAGAAGGAATAAAGAATATACTGTTAAGCAAACACCTTATTTCAAAACAAAGATCAAAGTAAACTAGGATTTGCTTTTATAATTTGTTTTATTTTTTTTATTTTACTTTTTTATTTTTTTATTTTTTGTACCTTGTCAATAACACCACAGATGTTTAATTATGCTAATTTGTAGCATCTGTTTACGTACAGTCTTAACATTAAACACAGTTATAAACACGTTAATAATATAAGAGAAGGGTGCTGTCAAAATGTACACATAGTGCCGAAACTGAACACAAAACCCAAAAAGTAAAAAGAAAACACAATGGCTCATTTCACGACAAGAAATATTAGGCCTTCGAGGCTTCACATATTCGATAAAAATCAGTGTTTACTCAGGAATATGTCTAAGAAAACTGGAAGCAGCGGCTTAGAAAGTAAAATCAACTCCCCGAACAAAGCCATCTACCACAAGTATTACGAGAAAATCGTCGAACTTGCGAAGAAAGTGCCCAAAGAAATAATGGAACTGAGAAACTCGGTGAAAGAAAAACTGCAAATAGAGGATGCCGTCCAACAACAGTCCGCATCGCAGTTAAAACCTCAGCAATCATACCCTCAGCGCCCGACGACAGTTGCACAGGCGAAGAACCGTTCCGGCGTTGTTCCAAGGGGAAAGAACAGAAGATACTAAGTTGACAAAATGCTTAATATTATGTAGTAAAAAATATAATAAGAGATGCCAGGTAGTGTACGCTGCAAACTTTCTATAAATAAATTTTCTTGAGCACAATGAAGTACACATTTGCATTCTTACAGTTGAAATTAATTACAATGTATTTTTTATTTTAACATCGTTACTGCCATATGATTGTAGTTTAAACTAGATTTATAATAAAACTCAAGCAAACATTAAATGTTATTTAAAGCGTTGTGCGGTTAGACATTCTGCTAGTAGGAGTATAACACCTTCGTGTAACAACGAGTCAAAGAAAATATATTTATTCAAGTTGTCCACGTTGTCTTTATCTTTAAAAAAAGCCTATGGTAAAAGATATTTATAGCATTCAAGAAATTGGAGAGTTCAATAAATAAAGATGTATGATCATTGATGAAGTGTATTTAATGGCTAATTAGGTTGCCCGTAGCGTTAATCAATAATTCAATTTTATCCTTCTTGGTTATGATATCGTGAACTCTAATATTCTTCATCAACTTCCCAAAAAAGCAATAGTATTTATTTCAACTCTATACAATGATGTCCTTAGAACCACCTACTTTCTTCTCCTTTGGAAGTTCTCCCTACACGTATGGTACCTAAGCCTAAAAAACTCACCTTGTCTCATCATATCGTCCTATTTAGCCTTCTCCCTATCCTCGGCTAAGTACTTGAAAAGCTTCTTCTTCATCGCTTAAACACCATCATCGAACCCATAAATATTATGCCTAAACACCAATTCGGATTCCGCGGCTACCACTCGACTATTCAGAAGCCCACCGAGTTGACACCATCGCCACCTACCTCGAGCTCAAGCAAGCACTGCCCTGGTGTTTTCCTTGACGTATCCCTGGCCTTTGATCGTATAAGGCACGAGCACGAGGGCTTGTTGCGGAAGCTAAAGGGCATCCGTCTATTTACATGCTACTCCTCAAATCCTTCCTACAAACCGATACTTCCAAAAAAATCCAAGGTACCTCTTCCTCTTATATTTTTTCCATTTTAGCCGGCGTCCCAAAGGAAAGCACACTTGCTCCCTTACTTTACTCCTTCTTTACTGCTGATCTCCCATTAACCTTCACATACGCCGATGACACGGCAATCTTCTAGCCAAACATAGATCCTGTTACTTCTTTCCGCAATCTCCAATCCCATCTTCATACGCTTGAACTCTGGCTTCGACAGTGGGGAACCAACGTAAACAATCAAAACTCTAAATACATAGTTTTCACTCTTATCATAAAACTCTCCCACCTGTCTAATTTATACGGCACTCCAGTTCTTCCCCTATTCCAGCGAATAGTATACGATATTTGGACTTTACTTGGACAAAAGACATCCACACACCCGATTAAAACGAATGGACTGTAACCTTAGATTTAAAATGTTGAAGGACTACTTGACAAAAGATCTAAACTGACATTACTTAACAAAACACTATTATACACTACCCTAATCGGCACTCTCTACAATCCAAAATCTTCGCACAATAGTTGCTTCACCTATCTACTAATCCACTAATACCAATCATACTATCCACTCCGATCTTAAAATACCATACGTCCCAAACCTGGCCCAGCCCCGCTACAATAAATTTCACTATCCTATCGTGACAACCAGTTAATTCATAATCTGTCCAACCCTTTTAGAAGGGGCCGTGGTAGCCGAGTGGTTAAGGCGTCAGACTCTCGGCTAGTAGATTCCGCGGTCGTGGGTTCGATCCCCACCGTCGCCTCTGAACTTCTTACTTCTTGAACTTCTTCAACTTCAATGATGATATATAGGTTCTTCAGTTGAATTTATTGGAACTTACATTCACCAGCGGTTCCTTTCTAAAACGTAATAAAAACTCATTTTTAGAAAGATTGATAATTGGGGATGTAAGTGGGTCGTCCTTTCCTTTAGAATAATGTTCAGAGAGAAAGTCGTGGTGAAAATGCAGCGATCCACCGTTAATTCCAAAAGCCGGAGATTATATCCATGACGGCAATGCATTTGGTGGGATTGGAAGAGGGTGCTTTATTATGAGCTCCTTCCACCCAACCAAATCGTTAATTCACAAACTGGAGTCATTTAGGTAAATAATTAATCAAAAACGACATTGGATTATGACAAGGGGATTGATTGTTTTCCACAAGTATAGCCCCGCGAGTCTTGCACTTAGCTTGGGTATGACCTCGACGCAACCTCTTTTCACTAATTCCGGGCTCTGCCTAACTCTACTAATTGGAAGTTATACATCACCTGAAGACTGCAGAAAGCACACCGAGGAGTTAATTCATAGTTCAAAACCTGAGTTCTGAGAGAAAGGAATTACCCACTTACTGTATTGGAACAAAATGGTTCATACATTGTTGATTATTAAATTTGTGTTGAATATTGACCTGAAATTTTCATTAAATTATCCATCAAAAAGCGCTACAGTCGTATTTTACGCCCCCGAAAGAAACGCCTTTCCTCTGGCAACAAAATTTGAAAATATGCGGGCCAAGTTTTAATTAACAGTAGAACTATTTTCCCAGTCATATTTTTCATTATTGACTTATTTAAACTGTTGTTTAAAACAAATCGCTATTTAAATATTGATATTGCAAACTTTGAGACAAATTTCAGAAACGTCTTTTACCGACAAAAAAGAGAAAATAAGAGGACCAGGATTAAATTAACAACAGTATAAACTTTCGATATTTAAATTTTTGATATATTGACATCTCACATTATAATAGTTATTTATTTCTAGTTAGATGGAGCCTATCTTGTAGAAGGCCAATTGCGGAAACCATTTTTTACCGACAAAAGCAGCGAAAATAGGCGGACCACGATTAATTAGATTAACTACAATCAAGCTTTCGCTATTTAAATATCATACATATTAATGTATAATAATAAATAATAATAAATGTTTCAGAGACGGATTTCTTGATAACAATTAATGAAATATTTGAAGAAGGAATTTCAACTCACGGGCTCTTTCCTATTGAAAAATACACGTGATGATTTATTATGATTCCAGTCAAGCTTGTTATTAGCATAGGCTTGACTTAAGACACAAGTACTCATAAAGAAGCATAAAGAGAATGAGCCACGAATTTGGAGACATCATATTATTTACAAAATGTTAAATAGTCAAGCAGAAATAATTGTGTGAATAATAATAATAATCGAGGCAATTTACCCGCGCGGTCGGTTCCGGTAAAGATCGGCAACATGGGAGTTCCTCAAGGGAGCATACTGGCCCCGCTCTTGTTTCTCTTTTATGTGGTCGCTTACCTTAGTACTCCTGATTGCTTTATACCTAATTACACCGATGTCCCTAACTTCATGGTTCGAGCTTATTTTCTCTATAATTCTTTATTCACCGCTGAAATAGTTGATAGGACAAGCCAGGTTTGCTATTAACAAGCTTGACGCGAATCATTCTAAATCATCATAATCTTTAGCATGACAAGAACCTAGCATTGAAATTCCCTTTTCCCTGAATGTTTCGTGTTGGCAATTGTACATTGTGGAGAGCACGAGGTTTTGGGGCCTTCGTTTTGACTGTCACATAAATTTCCTTATCCATAAACTGACTGCTGCGTATTTTGAACCCAAAGTGGACATTGATTGAGTACCCTCTCAACCGTCAACAGATCACACCTGTAAGATTTGATTCTGTAGCAGTGATGTGGGCCTCTTTGATAAGATTTTCCTACTTCATAACAAAGCTTTGAGAGGGATTCTTAGGCTGATATGTAGAGACAGCTACTCTACATTTAAACAGTTTACTAGTATAATATAATTACAGTTCACATATATTATATCCGAGGAATGATAAATACTGCGACTACCGAACAAAGCTTAAAACTTTTATTCCATATCACGACTGCAGCATCAGGCACAAGGACCACACAACACTTTTTTAGCATTCTAGTTTATATTTATGGCCAAAATTTACAACAAAATATGCGAACTAATCAAATTTAAAAACAAAAGCAAATGCCATAATTTGCTTCTCTAACTATGATGTAACTTCATTTATGAATTTTCCTTTCAAGAACATAGCGCAAAGTTCTAAAATTCCATCCATTCCATTAACTCGCTGGTTTTTCAAAGTTAGGTGCGAGATACTTTACATTAATTATAATCCCACAAGAGTCAATGTTCCAATAAGTGCTCTCTCTGCAACAGGCAGGCTTGAGGAGATTGTTTTCACTTGTTAGCAGAATGCCCAGTTTTAGCGAAATCCAAGTATGGCATATAGGCTTGCCCATGTTAACAAGAGAGCACCTAATCTCTTTAATAAATAATCCCGAGTGCTTAAATTTAATAAAGTCTGTGATGGAAGGCTGGAACTACAGGAAAGAACTAGTTTTTTATTTCAATTATTAAATGTTTATTACATATATAAGAGATACCCTGGTTATTCATATGTGCATAAGTGTATGTAAATATACATAGAAATGTTATTTTATTTTACTTACATAGTTTTTTTTCTCTTTGTTTATTCCTTGAGAACAAATTTTTAGTCCTGTTTTACTTTTTTGTTAAAAATATATAGTCCGACTTGGGCGAATGGTTGATAACCATTGCTGTTATGTGCTTTTTAGTTGTGGGTAATTTTTTCTCTCTCTTTTGTTTATATAATAAAGTTTTATTTTCTTCATTACATGAATTATGTAAATCAATAATTTATAGTTTTTAAGCATTATTTACAAATTTATTTTTTCTTATATAATCTGACGCCTTTATTTAAGATGTAAAATGTTTTCCATCTAAATAAAGATTTTTTGATTTGATTTGATTTCAAATTAACACTTTTACTAACAATGACATATTTTTTCATTCTTGCTATAATTTACATGGTTCACACTGATTTCATGGATTAAAACTGATTATATGAAAGATTTTGTGGTCTAAATTTTGTTATGGCATACTATACAGAAGAATGAACTTTTTTTAAAACTTTATTGTAAAATACTTTAAATTGTAATTAGAAATTTATGTTGAAATTCATTTAGGGTAGCTCTAATACATGTTTTAAATTTTATTACTTGGAACAAAACAAAAAACTAGAACCAATGTCTCAAGGAAGAACCCTCATTGAAATCAAATCGAGTACTATACCCGTTACGTCATTATTGGACGAGAATATTTCAAGGCCAGGCATGGAGGCAGATTTTTTCTTAACATTGGTCTCCGGTGATAACTGTTATCAGTGTAAATATGTGCTAAACGAAATAATAAAGCCCAATGTTTTTCAGACAATTTGCTAGATCAATAAATACTCGAAATAGCTGCTTATTGTCGAAAGCAACAAACACAGATAAATGCTGTGCTTTAAGACCATACTCCAGTGAGTACTTAATCGATTTTTTTTTTAAACTTTCATTTATATTTTCAATTCTTCATGACAGCCAAACCGAAAAGGTTTTACAAATATACTGGCATTCTAAATTCTGATGGACAGTACGAGATAACATTGGACCAAAGGAAGCTTAAGACGCCAAAAGGAAATGTGCTCAAACTGGAAAATGAGCTGCTTGCTATGGCAGTAGCCGCAGAGTGGGATGGGCAGAAAGACAGTATCGAGAGATCAAATATGCACCTGGTTAAAGATAAACTTAAATATTAGTCAAATTATATACAATCTCTTGATTTCATTAATCAAATGTTTTCTAGACATCGCTGTGCAATACTGCTCAGGATAATCCCAATTTTATAACGAAAACAGAAGCTGCTGAAAGTATATTTAGTTTTTTAGAAACTGATACTATCCTGTATCATTCAAACGTAGGTTTTTTCTTTTTTTTAATGCAATATATGTATATATATATACTAATAACTACAAATATGATAAGTATAATTCAACCAAATTTTGCCATTTTAGAATGAAGAAGTTTACGAGATACAAAAAAAAGAATGGTTGCCGGTTATATCATGGTTTAAAGAACGTTATAAGGTTGACATTGCTGGAACGAGAAATTTGGAAGGCCCTCAAATTTCTTCCGAAACTAAAACAGTCCTATTGAATCACATTTTAACTTTCAGTCTGCCTTCACTACATGGTAAACAATTTTATTTGTAAATTATGTACTTAATTATTTCAAATATAAATTACTAAATTACTGTAGCATTTTATCATTTGTCACTTAGGTTTTCTTTTAGCTGTTGAATCATTGAAGTCTCTAATTCTAACACTGTCCTGCATCGACAAAAGATTAACAACAAACCAAGCTGTCCTTCTGTCAAGACTCGAAGAAGAATTTCAAGTATAAACTCTAAATAGATGATCATTAATTTCAGCATTTAATGTGGGTTTTTTTCTGTTTAATTCAGGCAGACCGTTGGGGAAGAGTAGAGTGGTCCCACAATGTCTCACAGTATGACGTACAAGCACGAGTGGCGGCAGCTGTTTTGTTCATTCATTTGAATTCAATGGAGGAAAGTACAAAGTCAAAACTTGTTTCATGCTTTAAATAAAATTGTTATTAGACATTTGAATAATTCACATATTTACATTTACTTGTAGTACTTCGTTTTGTTATCCTCCCATTTATTTACATATATACCTCAAGACTGAACAAATATTAACTCATTGTAGGATCAATAGTATGGACGAACTCATTAAAATGTTTAATACTTTTACATAGTATTGCCAGGTTGTAAGGTTTGCAGTTTTTCTCTTTTAATAAACACACTCGATTCTATAAAAAAATATATGCATATTTTTAAATGTATATATACATATTTATATAGCAATACACATATGGGTCTCTGTGAACCCTTCTAAGAAAAAGAAATCTAACATTTCTTTCAGTTTAACAACATGCACCTTCATGATAGGTGGGTGGCGCGAAGTAAAAGATAATAATTGGCTTGGCGACATATTCAACCACAGGCAGAGATATGCCATACTGTTTTTGGCAGGTGCCATTGCCAGTTGTGTTTCCTTCCTTATGTTTTTTGTCCTATAATTAGAAATCATTTCAAATAAATTTTTGAACATTCAGACAAGGGGTTTACACTCATCGCATAATTGGATGTTAAGCCCATCGGTATTACAGGAAGGAGCTTTGATTTTACTTAAGAAAATAAACTACCTTAATAAGATTTCTTTTGAGCATCTTAGCATCCACGTCTTGACTGGGAACAAGTTTAGAGCTTCAATAAATTTAACCCTGTCCTCTATTTTGTTAAGTAAGGACACAAAGATCTTTTTTATATCTTCTGTAGAAAAGCCACACACTAAAAGTTTAAATGTGCATAACACATTACTAAATTAGTAGTATTGTTTGTGTTTTTTTCAGCATACTTTTAATTAGTTCAATTTTTTCCTTAAGTGTTGATATTTTTGACCTCAAGATATATCGATATTTCAGACAAAAATAAGTTATCTCTCCAAACGAGCACTAAACCACTAACATAATAACCATGTTGCCTGTGCAATGATGTGCATGACATACATTCAACATATCTGATAAAAAGTGGATTTTTTCTTGGTCGTTACTGCATAGTATTTGAAATATGGCAAAATCCTCAGAAGATAGTTTCATCACAGTTTCAAAATGGTGTTGCAATCCTTATTTAATGGTACATTTTGTAAGACACATAATCGCTCCACCAAAGCACCTGGAAAAAAATAGAATCATTAACATGCATAAGTAAAACTAAATATCATACATTGACACATCACAAAATCTTAAGACATCAAAATTTGCTTACAAAAATAATTCTTAAGAATAGTTTTTGATACACTAAAAAAATCATTGTACTTCAATGCACCATTATTTATTACATCACTGTTAAACACTTATTTTTATACATAATTAATTAATGGAATATTCTTTCCAAATCTATGCCCATACAATTTGAATTTTTTCTATTCTTATAAAGCAAAATAGTACAAAAAATACTAGGAAAATCAGTATTTATTCTTGACAGTTGGACACATAAAATTCATTACATATATATGTAAGAGTGAGTACAAAAGCAATAGATAAATAAAGACTGTTTCAAGAGATATTATTTTATATTTTCATTCATGGAAATATAATCCATTATACTTGAATTCCAACAGCTAGATAGTACTGTAGGCAGGTCTAGCTACAGCGTATAACATTTTAATTAATCAATTAAATATTATTTTAATTAACATTCGTTAATTTTCCAGAATTGCAGTATTTTTGTTAAGGATGTTTTGTAACTTATCTTGTATAATCCCTGCATCCCAGAGGATTAAGTAATTTCTGTTTTGCATTGAAAGAAAAAATCCAATCTATTTTACAAAAGTTGAAGTTCCTACTTTCAGCATTTTTTAATGTTTACTAGGTTGCAAATATAAAAGAGGACAGACAGTGATTATTTTTGTGTTTGAAATGAGGCCCATATTTCCACATCCCGACTTCGTCAGAAAGAGTAATTTTTCAGGAAAGGCAAAAACTTCATCCAAAAGTTTTGTTAGTTAATAGTGACCCCTCAAATAAGATGCCAATTATTTCAAGAGAATTCTATTATGTATTGGTTTACGTTTTTGTTATTGTAAAGTGAAATCCAAATCAAATTTTAGGGTCTTGTTTTTTCCTGCCGTGTTTTTATTAATTTTTTCAGTAATCAAAAATTTCAAATTTGCAATATTCAAATTTATACCATCTTCAAATATGCAGAATGAAATTTGAATCATTAAACTATGGATGTATAATTCTTATATCAGATGTACCACCATTCAAAAGTTATAGCAAGCAACATGCCTATACCTGACAAGACCAAACCTGTGTCTTGATTACGAAATAATTTGATTAAATATCAGGTTAAGATTCGTGAAGGTGACAATCAATCTAAAAATTATTTTAAAGTGTTGGAAAATTTGATTAAAATTTTGGGTTTGAGAATAAAATGAAGTGCAAATAAAATTTAAAGTTGTATATTTGTAAATTTTACAGCGACAACATGATAAAATTAAAGATTTTTAACAAATGTACATGACGTTTTGAAAAATATCAAAAACCACACAGTTAAAAATGAAATATGCAATTGTTTTCAATAAAATGATTAAGAGCACAAATTATTTTTATAACTTTATAAAAGAAAATTAATCACTTCTTTAGGGTAATTTATATATAAAAAGGTAAGTAAAAAGTAACAACTAATGATGTGTGCTGCAAAATCATTTTAAAAAACCTAAAATACACAATGTAGTTAAAATTATGTTTAACTCTCTTCTGTGACTTCCATCGACTCTTTGTTTTTCTTCTTTTTCTTCTTCTTCTCACTCTTGACCTAACATAACAAAAGGTACCAATTATTATAAAAAGTATTAAAAATTAATAAAATTGTGGTATTGCCTCTACAAGCGAAGTTTCTTCAACAACTTGCTGCTCCACTTCTTCGCCATGTTTCTTCTTCTTCTTCTTTTTTTTCTCAGAAGATGCTTCTACATCTCTCAAAACCGATGGGCTTTCGGATAACTTCCTCTGAGAAAATGAAAATAAAATAAATACACTGTAAGAACAAGTTAACTTTCAGTGTATCAGTATTACCTTTCGACTGTCAAAATCCTTTTCTTCTTTCACTTCCACCTTCACTCCATTTCCTTCACAGCTGGTAAATAATACAAATATATATTTTAGATAATTACGGAAATAATAATATAATATATTTTTTTAAATAAAATAATACCTTTCTTCAGCTTCTTTTGATAGCCAATCAGCAGGAGTTTTATCATTAGGTCTACCATATTTATCGAGTAGACCTTCCATTATCATTTTTTTCTTCAAAGATGCCTATAAAAAATTTTTGAAATAAAATTTAATAAATCTAATTGGTTTGTTTTTTCATCTGCTTTAAGTTTTTGTAATGTTAGGAGAGTCAAAGTAATAATGATTAAGAAAAATTTGGAATTGACACATGATTCCTCATAAGTTGTATCCATGAAAATGGTCTGGCTAAAAGATCCACACAATAAATGCTGAAAAATTTACCTTTTTCCCTAAGCCCCATTTCCTCGGATAAGTATCTCTGTCCATGATTACTCTTTTGATTTTCGCTACCAAGCCATGATCACAACTTGCAATTGTAGATGTAGTCATTAAGGCAACAGCTATGTAAAAACATCAAGTTAAAATAATGTTAAGTACTTTGTACTAAATAATATATGTATATACCTAGACAAACTGCCTCCCCTTTTGTGGTCATGATGACAATTTCTTCATTCAATTCAATTCCATCCTCAAACTTCAATACACCGGGAAGCATTATTTTGGCACCATAGCAAATGGCATTTACTGCACTGTCTTTCATCACTATTCTTTTAAAATTAGTTAGAAGACATTCAAGCGGCCTTATAACTCTCCGAAGATATGATTCATCCTTGTGGTTATCATATAACCACTGAGCGTCCTGGATATCGTGCATGGTAACCAGACCATTGGCTTCTGAGTGAAAACCTGATTTATTCCTTCTAAGTTCCAACATTTGACCTCCGACACCAAGCAAAAGCCCAATGTGTACACAGTATGTCCTAACATATGTACCAGCTTCACACTTAATCCAAAATATACCTGAAAATCATAGTAAATATGAGTGTCGAGTGTTCATGGGTGTTTCAAGAAAAAACTTATACCAACCCATATTTTTCTCCTTATCAAATTCAAAAAGTTTATAATCATATATATTCCTAACTCTGAGTTGCCTTTTGACTGCTGAAATTAAAGGCGGTCTCTGAAATTGTGCGGCCCTTAATAAGTCCATAGCTTTTAATATCTAAAAAGATAAATTGAAATGTCATGTACAACTCAAAAGAACTGAACCTCAACGACACACATACCTTCTCTTCACTTTCAACAGGACCATGGAGTTTAAATATTCCTATATACTCTTTTCCAGCAGACTGTTGTGATTTAACTAACCTTGTTGCCCTTTCAATACAAACAATCAGGCACCCTTAAAAAAGAAATTACAGTTAGTTGACATAATTTCTTAATTTACTTAGATCGTTAATATAACTTAATACCTGAAGTCTTTGGATCCAAAGTTCCAGAATGACCGGTCTTTTCGACCCTCAATATCCGCTTTATCCAAGCAACAACTTCGTGCGAGCTAGGATTCGACGGCTTGTCTAAATTTATACATCCTGATTTAACATAATCTTGGATATTTCTTTGTAAAGGTGAAGCACCAAATGGAAGTGGTGTAAAATGGTTGGTCTTTGTCTGCAGTTGGCTGTAATTCTAAGGATTAGAAAACAATATTAATACAAATTCATTTTTATCCAGATATTAATTACAAATTTTCCTATTCGATACCTACAATCAAATCATGTTAGGGATATTTTAACTTAACTTTTTATAAATTTAATAATACGATTTGAGTTTACATGGGCTATTATTCCTATTCCTATTCCTAACCAGGGTTTGTACTAAACAGCAGTACCTTGAGTTTGTACTACACATTAAACTGGTACCTTGAGGTAAAAGTTTAATTTGTTCCATTTGTAAAGTCAAGATGCTCAGTCAAAGGAACATATCAAAACTTTGCACACATTCATTTGCCTCGTCGCATAATTACATTTTGGGAAGGATCTGCAGTTTACCATATACAGGTACAAACCGCATATTTTATAATAATGTATTTATAAAGAACAAATATAGTGTGCAACAAAATAAAGCCAAATAGATACAAACATATATAAAGCATAACCTAAATAAACAGATTTAGTGGAGTAGATTAGCTTATACAAATATATAACGAAATACAAATTAATAACAAACTATACTTTACACAAATAAGCTAATAACTGGAAGCAAAAATAAATAAATAAAAAGAGACACAAATGCTTCAGTGGTGGGGTAAAACAGAAACACTGTGAACTGAACAAGCAAGTGAGTAGGAATCTGAGCGACATGGTGGTTGTGATATAACCATAGTAAAAACTCAAGGCAAAATTTTTGTCTTATAGATGGCTCATATATCCACCGTACAGGGTAGTGCATTTTCAAACACAACATAGAAAAAATGCACGGCTTACTTAAATGGACTATCCAAGTGACTTGTAACTAGCCATCCCATAGTCTGTATATGGTAAATTGTCCGTTTTACGTAGACTCAGATTGGAGAAAGACTCATTGGAGCCTGGGACGTACAAAATAGCACGTTTATGCCACGTAGCACTTGAGTTTTATTTTATCCGCCAACAAAACAAAAAACCTCTCACTTGAATATTGTAGAAATAGTCTGTCTGCATTCCATTACCATCTGAACCACCCTGATGCCATTAGCCTCCAGGGCAATTCTGTCTTAAGAAAATGGCAATCTATGTGGATATGAAAGTTGGAGATCAAAGCAGATCATCCTCAGTGTTATATACACATCATAAAGCACTGGTCAAGATGTTATATGTTACCAATCACTCCTTCACATTCAGTTAACATGACAAACCAATTAACATGACCATTACTAGCTCTCAACCAGACTGATCGATCTCATGAGGGACTTCAATAATGATCCATAACACAATAGCTACCTCGTTTATTTCATGAAGAATGAATTCAGTCTCACCTATGTGCTAACCAAGGCAGACACATTGATGTTGAAATTATGCCTTATACCTCTCACTTAAGTGGGAGAAAGGTCCACGAGACCTAACTCTGCGTGTTAAATAAAACGTCTAATCAATCAATCTTACTTTTCATATTACAAATCAATGCTTAACAAAAAAATTTTCGAAAATTAGTCAAAATAAATATACCATTCTTGCCAATTTTCTATTTAATGTTAAAATAAAATTTGGTACACAATGAAGGACTAGTTTTCATTTCAATTCAATACACTAAAAAGCGACTCACTGACATATACCACCGGTGGTGTGCCACAAGACCTTTCTAATAAAGGAGAAAATCCCATTCCCGAGTAATGTGGGAAGTTTGACTGTATTTACTACAGATTTGTTCAAAAATGTAACTTTTCAAATCAATAATTTGATACAACTTCGTGTTTGTAGTCATTGATTATTCAAAAAAGATTATGTCTATAAATAAAAAATAAATTATAATAATCATGGCTGCATTAATGTTTTTTTTTTTTTTTTCTGTCGGCATGAATCAATTGCACAATATTTACCTGTCAGTTTGTTCCATAAATAGTCAAAAAGAGTCAATAAATAATGTTTACCTTCATCAACAAAGGCCAATCCGATGTATGAAGTTCGGGTATTTCACTTGATGGTTTTATGTGAAATTCACCTTCCTCCTGGAATTCGCCTAGGCTTTTCATTTTCTTTTCCTTCTTCTTTCTTACTTCCTCGGCTAAAAAACAAACGTACAAAGACAACGGCGAAGGTCAAATTGATTGATCAAAACAAACAACTCACCCATAGTTGGAAATAAAAACGGTCAACAATACCCACAGAGGTCGAAAACACGTCAACCACGTGTTTAGAAACAGAAGTAAACCGAGTCCTAACCCACAACGAAAAACAAGCAATCAACAAACCGGCGCCCGTACTGTAAACCCCCTCCCCCACACACACACACACACGATTTCAAACTCGATAGTCACCAGTATTAAAAATCAATAAAGAAATAATTAATAATAATTGTTTTACTATAAAATTATAACATTTATGTTTACTCTTTGTTTTATATTTACGAATGATTTTTCTCCATGAGAAGGCTGTGCAAATTGAGCAGTATATTTACACAAACAACCGGCAAAACTGCTAATTCCTATTAAAATAAAAGAACAATTATAAATATGTGTCAGAAATAGCAATTAGTAAATAAATTTAAAATCTGAATGGAAAGCAACCAAAATGTTAAAAGCATATTGTAGAAAAAAACAAGTTGGTTTAATGAATGTTTGTACATATTCTTTAATTTAAAACATTGCAATTGCTAAATGTAAATTAATTAATTCTATAAATAAATTTGAATATAATTATATTTAAAAAATAAAATTTAATTTGATTAATAAACATTCTGCTTTGGTTATCGATGAGAATGTAATCGTACTTTATCGATCATGGGACGAGGCTTGACTACTTAACCTGAACTAAGCTTGGACTGTGTAGTTACGTGCTTTCTTCGTTTAATCTGTTAAAACGAGTTTACGACGTGGGGACATTTGTTTTCAGCAACGGTGAAAAACGACTTGTGTCTGGGTGTTTTTCTCTTTTAAATTCTACTTTGGAGTTTTATTTAACGATGGCGAAAGATAAGAAAGGGAAAATAAAACTGTCGAAAAGTGTGTTAGAAATGAAGGTAACTTATTAAGTTAAAACTCTTTATTATTAGGTTTAAAAATAGTTTGATCTTCGTGTGGATATTTGTCGACGCGGCCAAATTTTACAGTTGGACTTGTTATTTGTATATTGCGTTGGGAACGTTTGTCGAACGTAACCACGCAACATGGCGGATGCGGCGGCAAGACAGCTTCAGTACGAGTACAAGGCGAACTCCAATCTCGTACTCCAGGCTGATGTTCGTCTTATCGAAAGGAGGAGCCGGGATGAAGCGACGGGGGAAGTCATGTCCCTGGTCGGAAAATTGGACGGGACTAAAATGGGCGATAAATTCGAAAGGAACAAGCCAATAAAAGCCGAAGAGAGAAAGGTGAAAAGGCAGAAGAGGGATGAAGCCCAGTATGATTTTGCCAGGATGAAAGGATGTACGCTTCTCTCTGAAAGCGCTGATGATATGGTCGGTGTTGTTTATCGCCCGAAGACCCAAGAGACCCGGCAGACCTACGAAGTGTTGCTCAGTTTCATCCAAGAGGCGTTGGGGGATCAACCGAGAGACATATTATGCGGTGCTGCAGACGAGGTTTTGTTCGTGTTGAAGAATGACAGATTAAAGGACAAAGAGAAAAAGGTCGAAACTGAAACCCTTCTCGGCAGTCTGGCCGAAGAAAGGTTCGCCCTTTTGCTCAATCTCTGCAAGAAGATCACGGATTTCGGCGCTGACGATAAGACTCATGCCGTAGTTGATGAAAACATCGATGAAGCTTACGGCATCAACGTTCAGTTTGAGGAGAGCGAGGAAGAAGACGGTGAAGACATGTACGGCGAAGTGAGAGAAGGCGAGGGCCTTGATCAGACCGAAGAAGGAGAAGATGCCAAACACAACACAGCCATACATGCTGAGAATCTAATAGGAAATGCTGAAGAAGCAACCAAGAAGGAAAAAGTGCTTCATCCTTTAGACATAGATGCCTACTGGTTACAAAGAAGACTTTCCAAATTTTACTCAGATGCTATGACATCACAAGCTAGAGCTGCTGAAGTTTTGTCCATCCTGAAAGAAACAGCGGATGATAGAGAATGTGAAAACCAACTCGTCCTACTGCTCGGATACGAATGTTTTGAATTCATAAAAGTCATAAAAAAATACAGGCATACAATTTTATATTGTACACTTCTAGCTTCATCTCAAAATGAAGCTGAAAAGACAAAAATTCGTAACACGATGAATAATTCTCCAGTCTTGGCTAAAATCCTTAGACAACTGGATGTCGGTAGAGCAGACGAAAATGGAGAGAACGAAGTGACGAGAGTATCTCGTAAAAAAGATATAATTAACATTACTTCTTCTTTAGAGAGTAGCATTTTGGGCAATCGAGACGTTCTGGATTTAGAAGATCTGGTCTTCTCTCAAGGATCACATTTCATGTCCAACAAGAGGTGTCAACTTCCTGATGGATCGTTTAGAAAACAGAGGAAAGGATATGAAGAAGTACACGTACCTGCATTAAAGCCCAAACCGTATGATCCTGGCGAAGATCTTGTCCCTATTGAAAAACTGCCGCATTATGTTCAGCCGAGTTTCGAAGAATTTCGAACGCTCAACAGAATTCAGAGTAGACTTTATAAAGCTTGCTTAGAGAGCGATGAAAACATGTTGCTTTGCGCACCTACAGGTGCAGGTAAAACTAATGTTGCCCTTTTGTGTATGCTGAGAGAAATTGGAAAACACATAAATGAAGATGGTACTATAAATGTAGATGAATTTAAGATAATTTATGTTGCCCCGATGCGATCTTTGGTACAAGAAATGGTGGGCAGTTTTGGAAAACGGTTGAGCTGCTACAATTTGACAGTGTCTGAGTTGACAGGTGATCATCAGTTGTCACGAGAACAAATACAAGCGACTCAAGTAATTGTTTGCACTCCAGAAAAATGGGATATCATTATGCGAAAGGGAGGAGAAAAAAGTTTTACCCAGTTTGTAAAACTTGTCATTATTGATGAAATTCATTTATTACACGATGAAAGAGGACCTGTTATTGAGGCTTTGGTTGCAAGGACCATACGTAACATTGAATCTACTCAGGATGATGTTAGAATTGTAGGGCTTAGTGCTACTCTTCCGAATTACCATGATGTTGCGACATTCTTGAGAGTTCAGCCAAAAACAGGACTGTTCTATTTTGACAATAGCTACCGCCCTGTGCCCCTCGAACAACAATACATTGGTATTACAGAAAAAAAAGCATTGAAAAGATTCCAAATAATGAATGAAGTCGTATATGAAAAAGTGATGGAACACGCTGGAAGGAATCAAGTTCTGATTTTCGTCCATTCCCGAAAAGAGACTGGTAAAACCGCAAGGGCCATTAGGGATTTGTGCCTTGATAAAGATTCTTTAGGCCAATTTTTAAGGGAAGGCTCCGCCTCAATGGAAGTTCTGAGAACTGAAGCTGAGCAAGTTAAAAACACCGAATTGAAAGATTTGCTTCCATATGGATTTGCCATCCATCATGCTGGTATGACACGTGTTGACAGGACTTTAGTAGAAGATTTGTTCGCCGATAGGCATATTCAAGTATTGGTGTCTACCGCCACTTTAGCATGGGGTGTAAATTTACCAGCCCATACTGTAATTATTAAAGGCACCCAGGTTTACAACGCTGAAAAAGGAAGATGGGTCGAATTGAGTGCTCTTGATGTACTTCAAATGTTAGGTAGAGCTGGTCGACCTCAGTATGATAGCAAGGGTGAAGGTATTCTACTTACAAATCACAGTGAACTTCAGTACTATTTATCTTTACTAAATCAACAACTGCCTATAGAGTCTCAACTAATTTCCAAACTTCCTGATATGCTCAATGCAGAAATTGTTTTAGGAACAGTTCAAAATATGCAAGATGCGATCAAATGGTTAGGCTATACGTATTTATATATTAGAATGTTAAGGGCACCGTCACTTTACGGTATTTCACCAGATAAAATGGCTCAAGACAAATTGTTGGAACAGCACAGAGCTGATCTCATTCACACGGCTGCTATACATTTGGAAAAAAGCGGTCTTCTAAAGTATGAAAGAAGAAGTGGTCATTTCCAAGTTACAGAATTAGGAAGGATCGCTAGTCATTACTATTGTACCTTTGATACTATATCGACATACAATCAACTTCTGAAACCTACTATTAGTGAAATAGAGCTATTTAGAGTGTTTTCACTATCTGGCGAATTTAAAAATATCACAGTGCGTGAAGAAGAAAAACTAGAACTCCAAAAACTCATGGAAAGAGTTCCGATTCCGATAAAAGAAGGAATGGAAGAGCCTTCAGCAAAGGTGAACGTTTTGCTTCAAGCTTACATTTCTCAACTCAAATTAGAAGGATTTGCTTTGATGTCTGACATGGTTTATGTCACTCAGTCTGCCGCTCGTCTTATTCGTGCCATCTTTGAAATTGTCCTTTACCGTGGGTGGGCTCAGTTAGCAGAAAAAGCATTATCTTTGAGCAAAATGGTTGATAGGAGGATGTGGCAATCTATGTCTCCTCTGCGCCAGTTCAAAAAGCTTCCTGAAGAAGTCCTAAAAAAGATTGAAAAAAAGAGCATACCTTGGGAACGGCTTTTCGATTTAGGCCCCAATGAAATTGGAGAGTTAATAAGAATACCGAAATTGGGGAAAACCATTCACAGATATATTCATCAGTTTCCTAAATTTGAACTTTCAACACACATTCAACCTGTCACCAGATCGACATTGAAAGTGGAATTGATTATATCTCCAGATTTCCAGTGGGACAATAAACTCCATGGATCTTCAGAAGGTTTCTGGATTATGGTAGAAGATGTTGACTCGGAAGTTATTTTACACCATGAATATTTCCTATTAAAATCCAAATATGCAAAAGATGAGCATGTGATCAAGTTTTTTGTTCCCCTCTTTGAACCGGTACCGCCGCAATATTTTCTCCGAGTCATTTCTGATAGATGGATTGGAGCTGAAGCTCAGCTTCCAGTATCATTTCGCCACTTGATTCTACCAGAAAAAAATCCTCCAGCTACTGAACTGTTGGATCTTCAACCTCTTCCAGTATCGGCTCTCAGGAATAACAGTTTTGAAGCTTTGTATTCAGATAAATTTAATCAATTCAATCCGATTCAAACTCAAGTTTTTAATGCTGTGTACAACAGTGATGATAATATATTTGTCGGTGCACCAAATGGCTCTGGCAAGACTGTTATTGCTGAATTTGCAATATTACGTATGCTCAGTCAGGATCCTGAAGCAAGATGTTTATATGTCGTTGCAAAAGAATCATTAGCACAGATTGTCTACTCAGAATGGCATCATAAATTAAGCCCGTTGTTTGGTAATAAAGTTGTTTTATTAACAGGAGAAACTGCAACGGATTTGAAATTATTGTCAAAGGGGATTGTTGTTATTTCTTCAGCAGAAAAATGGGATGTTTTATCCAGACGATGGAAACAGAGAAAAAATGTACAAAATATTCAACTTTTTATTGTTGACGACTTACAGTTGCTTGGCAGTACGGATGGCCCAGTCCTAGAAATAGTATGTTCAAGAATGAGATACATATCTTCTCAAATAGAGAGGCCTTTGAGAATTATTGCTCTTTCTTCACCCTTGGTTGATGCAAGAGATGTAGCACAATGGTTGGGATGTAACAGCAACTGCACATTTAATTTTCATCCTAGTGTTAGGCCGGTGCCATTAGAACTTCACGTTCAAGGTTTTAGCATTACTCATAATTCTTCAAGATTAATTGCTATGAGCAAACCCGTTTATAATGCCATTTTGAGGCACAGTGCTCGCAAGCCTGTTATAATTTTTGTTCCATCAAGGAGACAAGCTCGTCTCACAGCAATCGATCTTCTAACATACACTGCTGCTGAAGGGAACCCTTCAAAATTTTTCCATGCCGACCAAGAAGATATAGTACCATTCTTAGAAAGGATGTCAGACAAGGCTTTAAAAGAAACTCTTCCACAGGGTATTGCTTACATGCATGAAGGACTGAGTTTAAATGATAGAAGACTGGTTGAACAACTTTTTGATTCTGGTGCGATTCAAATTGCAGTCGTAACAAGAAGTTTATGTTTTTCTTTAAACATCAACGCTTACCTTGTCATTGTAATGGATACTCAGTTCTACAATGGAAGAATCCATGTTTATGAAGACTACCCAATAACGGAAGTAATACAGATGGTCGGTAGAGCTAATCGACCTCTAGACGATGATGATGCTAAATGTGTTGTTCTATGTCAAAATTCAAAAAAAGATTTTTTTAAGAAATTTTTAAGTGAACCTTTACCAATTGAAAGTCATTTGGATCACAAACTTCATGACCATTTCAATGCTGAAATTGTTACCAAAACTATTGAAAATAAACAAGATGCCGTAGATTATTTGACTTGGACCTTATTATACAGGCGTCTCACACAAAATCCAAACTATTACAATCTTCAAGGAGTAACACACAGACATCTGTCTGATCATTTATCAGAACTAGTTGAAAACACTCTGACAGATTTAGAGCAATCTAAGTGCATCACTATAGATGATGATATTGACACGAATCCCCTTAATCTCGGTATGATCGCTGCTTATTATTACATAAACTATACAACAATTGAATTATTTGCCCTTTCACTATCCAGTAAAACAAAAATTAGAGGTTTGATTGACATCATTTCTTCAGCGGCTGAATATGATGATATTCCTGTAAGGCAAAATGAGGAATCAATATTAGAACCACTTTCAGCCAAGCTTCCTTATAAAGTTTCAGCTGGTTCGAAGTTCAATGATCCTCATGTCAAAACTAATCTTCTGCTACAAGCACATTTATCGAGGCTAAATCTAGGCCCAGAACTGCAAGGAGACACAGAACAGATCTTAGGAAAATCTATCCGTCTTATGCAAGCTTGTGTGGATGTATTAAGTTCAAACGGTTGGCTAGCGCCTGCTGTAGCAGCTATGGAATTGGCACAAATGCTTACCCAGGCCATGTGGAGTAAAGAGTCATACCTTCGACAGTTACCTCATTTCACACCAGAAATAATAAAAACCTGCCAGGAAAAGAATGTGGAGACAGTTTTTGATTTGATGGAGCTCGATGATGATGACAGAGTCAAACTATTACAACTCACAAATGCCCAGATGGTAGATGTCGCCAAATTTTGTAACCGCTATCCCAATATCGAGCTCACATATGAAGTTCAAAATAAAGACAAAATCAAATCAGGAAATATTGTTAACATCCATGTCAGTTTAGAGCGAGAAGATGAAGTGACAGGACCTGTGATCGCACCGTTCTTCCCTCATAAGAGAGAAGAAGGCTGGTGGGTTGTAATAGGAGATCCAAAAGCAAATTCCTTGCTATCCATTAAGCGACTCACATTGCAACAAAAGGCGAGGATAAAATTGGACTTTGTCGCCCCAGGGCCTGGCCACCATTCATATACCCTTTATTTCATGAGTGATGCTTATTTGGGCTGTGACCAAGAGTACAAGTTCAACATCGACGTAACTGAATACGATGGTTCAGGGGAAAGTGATTCAGATTAAAAATTACCTTCAAGAACTTCATCTATTTTTCTTTTCTTTTTGTGTAGGTGTAATTAGCATAGGAAAGTAATAAGTTTGTATTCTGATAAGAAATCATTTTGTACAATTTTGTAAATATAAAACCTGATTTTAAAAAGTTGTTCTTTGTACATCTTAAAAATAAAATATAAATAATCAGACACATCTAACAAAAAGTATTACCTTATTACATTTTGCCTTGAGTTGGACATTAGACATTCTGTTGTTATTTAACAGTTCATGCAAAGGAGCAAACTGAAAGCAATTGCTGAACAAGAAGCTGAAGAAGGTGAAGCCATGTATGGCAAAAATATTACTGCAGAAATGAAAAATGTCGTGTAAGTAATTTTAATTTTATGTAACAAAGATTTTGCAGTAATAAATATTTTTCTTTCTTTTTCAGCGATAAATATATCGTAGAACCTAGCTATGTCCCAATAAAGAAATTAATCGTTGGACGAGTCTCATATGGAGGAATGAATCCAGAAGTGGAAAAGCTCATGACACATAAAATAACAGGAAAGAAAAACATGGAAATATCAAGGCAAATGGATAAGGACATCAGTGATTTGGAAATGGCTGCACATTTCAAAAGCAATCTCGCCAACACTATGGGTAAAAAGTTTGTTGGTGCAAAAGTTACAAAACGACAGTTAAAGAAAATGAAGTTTAAAAAGCCTAATGAATAAATTTTCAATAGGTTTATAAAAATAAATATTTTATTTGGAAAAAAATATATACATACTTTTTAATTTAAACAATTGTAAGTTTTTATCTCAATACCCCGTTTTCCTTAAGAAACTTTTTATCTAATATACCAATACTGCACAGACAAACTATCGCTGCCCCTTGTTCTGCCCATCTTTTGTTTTTCTCCCTGAAAATCATATTTAATTAATAGATTCACTAGTTTCGTGGTCCGCTTGACCAATTTAATATCATACAATTAATTAAGGTTTTTAGTTGAGATAAAAAAGTCAATGGCATGAGCGGGATTTGAACCCACGATCTTCTGCTTGATATGCCGCTACTCTACCACTTGAGATATCGTGGCCTCGATCCACTCGGACACCAACCTCCCGTCTCAACCACATTGACTTTTTTATTTCAACTAAAAACCTTAGTTAATTGTATTTAATTAATAGGTTGTTCTTAACACTGAAATAATTTCTGAGAAGACTGAATGTGTATTTGTTTTTGTTTCTCCACCTAATTACTGTGATAGCTAGAGATAAAAGTTTAATTCGTTCCATGACAGTTCATAAGTGAAGATGTGTATCTCAGATCAATTTTACCCGTTGAAATGAAAATAATGCATACCTACACTAAAAAAAATCTATTTTCTTATAATAATGAATTTATAATTAACAAATATTGTATACAAACATATCAAAAGGGGAAAAACAGATTCGATGGAGTCGATTAGCTTATATACAGTACAAATAAAACTTTTAAAAAAATTATTCAAGTACTTTTGCTTAACATAATTAATTATATGAATTAATAAAAACTAATAAACTAGTAGGAAAAATATTGTAGGAACTGCTTCTATGGAATCATCTTATTACATATCAAATCACACTCGTCTCACAAATTCTGGCTTGTATCACCAAATATTCATGTTGGGGCAATCGCACCCCAAGGTACTACTGTATATCTCTGATATTTGACTACTTCTAAACTAGTTATAATGTGCAGTATATTTTATTGGAATTCTTCTAGAAATTTACTCATAACAATAAATATTAATGACAATATAGGGAAACAAAGAATTATAAATTGAAAAATAAACAATGAGTTAATGAACTGTAACCCAACATCGTCTCTTGTCTGCTTATTTTCATTGGTTTTATTTGCCATGATGCATTTATTCTTCAATGTACACAATTGTGTCCTGTATTAAACACAAAACACAGAAAAAGCTAGCAAAAGGATGAGGGTAAAGAACCATAACTAGATGTTTAAATTTTTCAAATATATCACAGAGTCAAAGTATTTTGTGAAGACTGAGAGTTCAGAAGAGAACTTTACAATTTACACAGACAAGAATTTATTAAGAATAAATAAAAAATACATGTGTAGAACATGTCACAGTCAGTTAAATTTTAAGAAAAGAGTATTTAACTATTCATTCTACCATGAAAATATGGGAATGGAACAACACAATTTGAAGAAAATTATTAGCGGTTATATGGAGGTCATGAGATGAGGCCTGATGTGACGTAGGTTTAGAAAAACATTTTCTTTATCGTGCCAATGTTTTGATCTTTATTTAGATCTTCAACTTCTGAATAAAGATCAAAACGGCATGATAAAGAAAACGTTTTACTAAACCTACTTTACACCAGACCACATCTCACAATCTCCAAATTATCATTAATTAACGGTCACTAAATATTACACAAAATTATTAGCATTGTACATTGGAAAAATGCCAACCACAAGTAGACATCTCAGTTCATCAGAGGACAAGGTTTAAACTTCTTTACAATTTACTTCAATGAAAAACATTTTTCACCAGAAAGTTTAGGCTACTGAGATTTTGTGGACGAGAGGTCAAACCACTTGGAATAAGTCGACAAATTTAGAAAGGCCACTTGCACTTCAGTCTCCAATTACTGATCTTTTAAAGGGCCATTATTAACCCCTAAAGAGGACATTATTTTCTTTTATTCCTCTTAGAAAGAGAAAAATTTAGACATAATTTTTTTGCTAAAAAATGGATACATTTTTATTTTTTTATTTTAATAAAACTTTATGATTACCAAAATGTAGATGTGTACCGCAATCCATGGACAGTCACAGTTGATCGGAAGAGTTTATCCACTTGTATAGTTTGGTACTGTGGTATTTTCAAACCGTTTGATTTAGTCCACATAAGTAATCTAGTTTTTGGTAAATCAGGGTCAGATGGGTAAAGATTTCGGATAAAGACACATTCCATAGCTGTCACATCAGAATCCAGACATATCTTTTTGTGGCCAACTGGTTGAACATCCCGCCTTCCGATTAAACCGTTTTGTTCTTGTTGTTCTACCATTTCTTTATAGAACTCTTCAAGACTCCACAATACACTACAAAAGCGAAATGATTAGATCCAAATTTTGTTTTAAAACTATATTATAAACCTCATTTGTTGCAAAGTTTGTGCTTCGAGGAACTTTTTCCCCAATTCTGTTTCCTGCAATTCTCTTAGCATGTTCTGAATGCAGTATTTGGTATTTGAAGGAGAATTATCATAAGTAATGGCGAGTTTTAAATACTTGACAATGATTTTATCTATCTGGAGTTTCCCGTTTTTATCAAAAATTGAGACATTCCACTCAGCTGCCCTTGCTAACATAACACTGCTACAGCCTGTATCTTTCTTAAATTTGTTGATATCCTCGTATTTTTCTATTTCTTTTGAACCTCCACTGAAATTCAAAGATTTAAATTAGAAGAAGCATTTAACATTTTCTTGGAAATGAATATATTTTTATACATGCGTATAAAAATCATAGTGAACTGTATAAAAATGTCTCATAAGAAAGTGATAATACTAATAATAAGTATAGCTTCTTCTTTTTTCGCTTTTTACTTTTTTGTTAAGCTTCAGCTTTTCTTTTTTCTTATTTTATGGGGATTGATATGACTCATACTGTGAACCCCATAAAAAAAAAAATGAAACTACTTATTGAACTATTTCTATCGAACGTAAGGAACTATTTAAGCATTGAACAAAAATTCAATCAATATGTTTAATAAAACATTCCACCCTTTTGAGCTACATTTTTTTTTCTATGATTATATGTCATTTCCATGCTTGTAAAGGTAGAAATTTGCACCACTCATGTTCCCATTTCATCTAGTTAGTATGTTAGTAAGTTAGGTGTATTTTATTCAGTACCAAGATCATAAATCCACACCAAAATGTTTGGATTTTTCAGTGGAATTTAAATAAATATTTAAAAGTTACAACCAAAAACCTATTCTTGGTTACAAAACCAAAATATACTCCATTAAAAAACAATTATTTTTAATATAAATAAAAACAAAACTTAAAAGTAAATTTGTTTTACTGGTTATAATATTACTTTGCTATAACAGGAATGGAGAGACTTTGTGAAATCTTTTTGAGAAGTTGATTTCTATTTTGATGTTGAGGCCTTTCATGTTTTGTTCTACCGTGGACTGCGATCGCCGATATCCCACAACTCTCAAGTTCCTTGCAAAAATCTATTGTGCTCTCTTCATCCTCCTGTACACGTACTTTACAAGTAACGGGGATCTTTAAGTTAGAAGTCAACGTTCTAAGAATCGCTTTGGCCTTTTCAGGTTGAGATAAGAGAGCTGCGCCCATTCCACCTTTTATCGAAAATTCTTTTGGGCAACCCATGTTAATATCAACACCTGCTATGTCATCCTCCCTGAAAAAAATTTGTAATGTTAAAAAAGTTAACTTTCAGCCAAATCGATTTAAGCACTTACTGACATTAGTTTTGCAGCTTGTAGGGCTCTTTCAGGATTGCATGTTCCTATTTGAAGAATGTTTTTGCCACTTTCTTTACCGCAAGTTCTAAATACAACCGTCCCATCAGTTTCATCGATGAAGTCAACTGTATTCAAAGCCTCTAAAAAGAAATATTACAAAAAATTATACATAATTTAAAAAAAATGTGTAATACACCTACTGTTAAATATTCGTTTTGATCTGAGTATTTTCCAGTCAATCAGTTCCTCACTGTAAACTAGATCGGCGCCGAACTCCAAAGCAAGTAGCCTCATTGGAAGTGTACCTATGCGCACCATTGGAGCCAGTATGATTTTGCCTTTATACATATCAGAATTTTTCGCTGCCATGATACTGATATTTATTGAGTCATTCATAAGGGACATTTCATCCCAGATAATGATGATACATCCCTATCAAGTGAATGGAAGCATTTTTGACTTGGGACGAAAAAATAGAGGCACGAAATGAACAAAACTTTGTACAACGTGACAATAAGTGTCCCATTTGACACGAGTGTCAACAATGATAAACCCTCCCCAAGTATCATGCAAGGTGAAGACAAAAAGGGTTTGGACCTGCATGGAGGCCCTGGCGGAAGTCAGCATCACTATCAAACCCTGGCATGGGTAGTGTCACTTAAGAAAGCACAAGTACCGGATAAGAGAGTAGAAAGAAGAAACACTATGCAGATAATGTCGGGAAGAGGTGGAGACCGCACAACACATTTTATGTTTTTGTGAAAGTCTACGTAGGTTCAAGTTCTTGCAACTGGGACAGGAAAAGCCGTAAGGTTGATTAACAACCTGAAGCTGCCCAGTGAGTTATAAAAAACAGGAAAACACAATAGATCTACTCAGGTCGAGGTGCAGAAGGCCTTGTGGCCGCCTCTTTTATCCCTATCCCCAAGACGAGAAATACCAAGTTCTTGAGATTGTTAGAGAGCAGCTTTACCTTCTTAAAGCAGCATTTCTCAAAATAATGTTTTTTTAATAGTAAAACTTATTTTATTATTGTATTTATAAATTGCGTTTTTCGACTTTTTCATGTTTTTTTAAATACATTTTTATTGTTTACAATTAATTTTTTTTAATGTTTCGGGAATTTACACCCATCATCAGAATCTACAATATAAACAACATTTTACATTTATCTGTGTAATTTAAACAATGCTTATAAATCCCAGGCCCTGAAGTGATCTCAATAATGATCCAAACGTTGACAATATTTTCCTAAATCCACATCACACCATACCGCATCTCACGATCTGTAAATAGTAATTAATATTTAATAACTATAATTTTTCATTGTATTTAGTTTTATTAAAAATTTATTACTATTTTGCATCTGTTGTAAGATGTCCTTTTTCATTATTTGATTCTTGATTATACTGGGTTAAATTGTTTGTTTTCCAGGCGATAAGTAGTCCTATAAGTCTTGAAAAAATTCGTATTACATAATAAACATTATAATATAAAAACCATAAATAAAAAAGAATAACCTTAAAAAAAACCTTGAATAAACAAAGACATTAGTGCATATCATATTTTCTAATATTAAGAATTAATTCTATGCTGTAAACTTTGCTATTGTTGTTTCGTTTTTTTATATAAATTATTGTATTTTTGTTGTATATTATTATATGTTTGTTTTTGATTTTTGTTTGTTAAATTTGGTGTTTTTAGAAAGTAAGTTAAATTCAGTTAATAAAAATATAAAATTGTAACATTATAATATGGTTTGCTGTAAGAATTTAGATTGTATAAATTATGTAAACAATCAGACTCCAACAAGATATGAATTGTAAATTGCAAATTCAACTTTGCAATAAATTATTTCTTCTTTTTCTTGTTTGTTTTAAAAAATTTCGATTCGTACTGAGGTGACGTACTTTCTACTGTACCAATATTGGAAGGCAACCAAGTCGCGGTCAATCCCCTTCTTCGTCCAATCCCATTAACCGAGTTGTTTTATCGGCTTGGTTGTGAGGTGTAAGGTTTATTCGGCTGGATACGTGTCACTTTTCCAATAGTTCTAGTGATATATCAAATCTTAAAATGTTTATCCACTCGTATTGTGCACCATTAGTTGTATTTATGGTAGCTTTTAGTATATGTAGTGGCCAAGATGTGTTAATCCAAGACATTCTTGTAAAAAACGCCGACCGGCTAATTGATGTGTCCAGCCAACTTTGCAAGGTGGCTATCAAACTTCAAATTGAAAATGTTGGTAAGTCACCGGTGAACAAGTTCATATTCAGCCTAGACCCTGTTTTTAAGCCTAAACTGGCACATATATCGGCCCAGTTGACCGATACCACCAAGTCGCCTCTCAAGATCCTAAGCACGAAAATAAACGGGAAGCCGGACGGGGCATTTTGGAGAGTGGACCTCAAGGACCAACTTCGACCCGAAAAAACACTCAATTTAGAAATTGAGTATGTTCTGACACACACTTTGACACCCTACCCGACGGCAATCACCCAGAAAGAAAAACAACTCGTAAGGTACAGTGGAAACCATTACATACATCTTCCATATTATGTCGAGAAACAGACGACAGTTGTCAACTTGGGCTCCAGAAACATTGAATCGTACAGTAAATTGAACCCTGTCAGTCTTCTCGATAGCACAATAACCTATGGACCTTACAATAAGGTCAAACCGTTTGCTTTCGATGCTCTAACAGTGCATTATGAAAATAATTCCCCTTTCCTCACTGTTACAAAATTGGAAAGATCAATCGAAGTCTCTCACTGGGGAAACATCGCCGTCGAGGAAGTTGTTGATATGGTTCATACCGGTGCAACGTTGAAGGGCCCATTTTCAAGATACGATTTCCAGAGGGAGACGCATAGCGGTTTGTCAAGCGTGAAGTCATTCAAGACCATACTTCCAGCCTCTGCGACAGATGCTTATTACAGAGATGACATCGGTAACATTTCTACATCCCATATGAGACTATTAAGTGATTCTGTCGAACTCGATTTACGGCCGAGGTTCCCACTTTTTGGAGGCTGGAAGACTCATTACGTTCTAGGGTACAACGTTCCTAGTTATGAGTATCTCTTTAATTCGGGTGACGTTTACAAGCTCAAGATGAGGGTTTTAGATCATGTCTTTGATGATATGGTAGTCGATGAATTGGTAACAAAAATAATCTTGCCTGAAGGAGCAGATGAATTACAACTAGTTACTCCATACTCAATGACTCGCTTACCTAATACTAGGCATTCGACTTACTTAGATACAAAAGGAAGATTAGTCATTACTGTAACAAAGAAGAATTTGGTTGAAAACCATATCCAGTCCTTTGAATTGGATTATGCTTTTCCTAGGATTCTTATGCTTCTTGAACCTTGCTTAGTGACAACGGCCCTCTACTTACTTTTCTTGTTGGTCATTATTTATGTTAGATTGGACTTTTCAATAAGCAAAGATGAAGCGGGTGAAAGCAGGCTAAGAGTATCTGGAATTTTGGATAAACTCCTTCAACATTTTGATAAAAGGGCTACCACGTATTCTCAATTAGATGACCAATTTGCTAAAGTGAAGACCTCCAAAGATGTAACCAGCTATAACAACGCTTCCAAGACTATTAACCAAGAGTACAAAATTGAGACAAACCACATTATGGAATTAATGGCCAAGCTGAAACCCGATGCTCCTGAAGTTTGTGAAAAAATCTCAGAAATACAGAAATTGGACCGAAACCTTAAAGAGATTTACAATCAGAAACAGGCGCTCTACGTTGACAAGCTTATCCCTGGGAAAGTAGGAAGAGGAGCTTTCATCGAGACAGAAACAACAATCAACAAGAAAAAAGACGAGACAGTTGAGAAAATCAATGCGCTCATCAAAAATCTCCATTAGAGCAAAGACTGAAAAGCATTTCCATGTTAACAAGAAATTGTTTTTGTAGCTCTTGTTCATGTTTAATTTTTACATGTTTCATATTTAAATAAAACATGTTTCTTTTTCAGTACTGCTATCATTAACATTTTATAAGCTCATATTCCTATTAGTCACTTTTCACTCGATTACAAAGCAGCAAACAAGACTATAGAAAACTACCATTTATATAATGCATATTTATTGAATGTGTATAGGATCAATAATATTTTTATCATTGCTAGATCATCTACCAAATGGAAGATCCATTTCTAACTTAATCAACTTGGTTTTGGATTAAAAAAAATTACATAATACAGTTCATAGTTTTAATTTTTTAAAGAATCATGCAGGCGATATTCTATTATTATCTGAATGTAGGACATTAATAATTATTATTTTTAAACAATACAATAAATCTGAGGTATGTGTAATTCAAGCTCAAGTTCAGAAAACTCCTAGATGATTTCCAACGCAGATACAAAAACCAAAAACCTGACACCTAACCAACTCAGCCACTGGGGTCCCATTTATAAACATACTCTCTACAGCTTTTCTATACTAAAATTTATAGTGGGAAGGAAAAGAATAGCATGACCTTTCTGCAAGGATGATGCATTCGATTTTTCTTTCATACTATACTAGCTATAATGGTCCACTTGTACAATTACATTTTACATTCAAATTTAAGAGAAAAATTCTATGTATAGTAGAAAATAAAGATGACTTTTGTAGCAAAAATAATTATTTCAATTACCTACATAATTTACCAAATAGAATTTTCTTTAAGGAATTTGAGTAATTTTTATCTCAATTCTTTTATTTATTATTTATTATTCAAGACAAATGGATAAAATTTAGCTAATTAGAAATAATTTTATAGATGATTGATGAACATTAAAATATTGATTTAAGACAATTTGCTAAAATATCATGAGGAAGAAAACTAATCCTGTTCTTTTGCTGTATGCTAATTTGTTCTTACAATTTGTACAAACAATATTTAGAATAATTTAAATATTTAAAATAATGGATAAAATTAAGATAATTAGAAATAATTTTATAGATGATTGATGAACACTAAAATATTGATTTAAGACAATTTTCCAGGATATCACGAGGAAGAAAACTAGTCCTGTACTCGTGCTGAATGCTAATTTGTTCTTACAATTTGCACAAACAATATTTAAAATAATGGATAAAATTAAGATAATTAGAAATAATTTTATAGATGAATGATGAACACTAAAATATTGATTTAAGACAATTTTCCAGGATATCATGAGGAAGAAAACTAGTTCTGTACTCTTGCTGTATGCTAATTTGTTCTAACAATTTGTACAAACAATATTTAAAATAATTTACATTTCTAACAAAATTATATTTTTATATGCATGTGTTTTTTTCCACACTCAACAATGAAATTGGTGAAAAGTATAAATGATAGGCCGACTCAGTGAGGATAGACCGATTAAAATGAACCTTAATGACCAAATTGCATGGAGAAATCTGATTTTTAGTATCGACCACTTTTTCATTTACGAACACTGGATCAAGATACAGTCTTGAAGAGGTAAGCAAATTCAGTTACTGGCAACGACAAAACAACCTAAAATATGTCTACATTTGGTAAGATGGCAAGGAGTCAGAGAACAGGCCTGTGCTGTTTCCATATTGATTAAAGTATTGCATTGCAGAAGAGATGCTCAATTCTAAACCATAGCATGCCCTATTTTGGCAAGTATAAAGCAATTCATGGTCCCGGAGTTGGTGCTGGGGATCGAAAAACCTATGAATAACACAAGGGCCAAGAATCTTCTGTCTCAGCCAATATAGTACAATAAATAAAATATATTATGGAAACAATTGAGACTGTTTGAAACAATAACAGATCTAATGAAGCATAAAGTTTGTCCAATGCTTGCTTGCCCGGCTCACAATTGTTCTTCATTGTTCAAATAAAATTGAATGTAATTTACTAGCAAATATATTTTTATATATGTGCTTTTTGAAATGGGGCACATTGCAGTATATAGCATGAAAACTATGTTTAGAATCGAGATAGTTTGACAAAATAACAGAAAAATCCAAAAAGATTAGTCCAGTATACATACTCCACACTCCCAGAAAATTTCTTAAGTTCTACAATAATATTTCTATAATAGACCAAAAGGATAATCGAGGATACATTAAGGGAGTGGAAAAGTATTAGAGTAGAGGCCATAGAAGTAGGGAAAGGAAAGAATGGAAGCGAATGTCAATGAATTTATGCAAAGCATGGTTCGAAGAGTGTCACAAATGTTTTTGTATAGTTTTCTTTGTAACTTTATTTGTTTAATCAAAACGTTCCTTTTAATGGAGGAATATCAAGAACTCCATCACCCTAATTGAATGAATGGTATGTAAATAGGATTGAATGTATGTAAAAATGAACGCGAGTACGAATGGGTTTGGATCTGCATGTTGGGCGCTGAATTGACCTAGCTGTTGATAGTACCTGGAGGCTGGAGCCCAACCTCAATGGCTAGAAGAATAGGACTTAGGTCTGCCCTGGACTGCCAACTGAGTCTGCCAGCAGTTTACTTAAATAGCAAAGCTGGAATTGCCGGTGGACTATGAGAAGTGAATAGGGTCAATTCGGCACATGTTCGTATCTACAACAAAACAATCCTTATTTCTTTACGAACAATACTGTATATGTATATATATACTTTTTTATTTCTATACAAATAGAAGTTATGATTATTATATTTTTATATATTTGGATAAAATTTTGGGAAGGGGATTGGGATGCTATGTAGCAAAATAGGGTAAAAAATTGTCTACAATCGAGTCAGTTGATAGAATAGCGCAATTATTCAAATCTAATCTCGTACACAAACTCCAGCTAAATTGTTTGGCCAGTGAGTCATTATACAGAACAAATGGTTATCAACATTAACAATATTTAGCAGAAATGAATTGGCATTAATTAAGTTTAAGTGATCAATTATAATATTCAGTGTTTTGTTTAATTAATTGTTTGTTTTAAAAATTAAAATGAGTTATCTAAAGGTTTTTTTTCCTCCTGTCGTTAAGAATAGCCCATGATAACAATAATTTTTACAATGCAAGTAATTGTGACAGTTTCCAGGAATATTTTATCCTTTTCTCCTCTCTTCCTTTTTTTTTCCTAGTTTCCCTTTATCTTATTTCTCTTTCTGATTTTCTTTTTTAATATTGTTTCATCATTCGATTATAAATAATTAATATTTGGAGAATACATTGTTGTCATATTTTTGTATATATTTATTATATGTTGTAATGTAGCGACAAAGCTGCACTTCCAAACTCTTCAAAGTAAGTAATGACATCTGTTTAGTCATAGAACATGAACTTTGCAGAGCCCTACTGCTTCTTGACTTTTCTAATGCCTTCATTTCTATTTCACATCAAATTCCTATTAACAAACCATCAACTACTTTTAAGTTTGGTTCCTCTTCGTGATCGATGGGACAAATCTACAGAAGAATATTCAAGGATGGGTCTGACTAAGGGTATACAGTTCCTTAATAATGTTGACCGAAGTGCCAAGAATTATTGCACCTTCAGAAAGGGATATAGAAACATTGTGAGGCATTACAATTTAGATCATTATTTAAACTCCAAGAATGAGGATAATTTAAATTATTTTGGAAAATTAAGTGGTCAGAATAAGAAGAAACAGATTTAAAAATCTTTAGATTGCCAGCAAAGAGAAGAAAACAATATCATTAAGTAGTTTAAATGTCATTTATGAAAACAAGAAACAAAAGGCCCTAAGTGAAACCCCCAAGGAACTCTTGAAGTAACTGTAATTAATTAATTAAAAGTAAATTAGTAAGTAAGTAATTTAAAAGATGCAGAAAAATTAGCTTTAATTATTTGGAACCTATTTTACAGATATGAGTGAAACCAACAGAGAAGACTGTCACCAAAACTATGTGTCTCCAGCTTTGCAAACAAAATATCATAATTGATAGTGTCAAACAATTTCAGAAATTTGGTGTGAATTGAATCTACATAACTATGTTTATCAAATGCATCTAGAATATGTTTTGATAGATCAAAAGATTGGTGGATGTCATTTTTTTACAAAACTATGTTGTTGCAGGACAATAATCTCCAGACACTTACAATTGTTAATATAATTTACCTAAAACACAGATTTACCTAAAACAATGGTTGTCGAGTATCAGTGCTCATTCATTGCAAGGTGAACTCAGAGACCAGAATCAGGACGCCCAAAAGTCAAGGGACTAGCTGATGACCGATTTATCAAATTGCACACTCCGAGACATTGCTTTTCTACTGCTTCTGAAATGTCTCAAAGAATTAGAACTGTGCAGGATGCGTCCATTAGTGCTGAAACAGTAAGAAGGAAGCTTGCAGAAATGAGTCTACACCCAGAAAACCAGCAGCAAGTCCAGTGTTTACCAGAAACCAGCTCCGTATCCCTGATTTGAATCCCATTGATTACTTTTGGGACAAGCTTAGACATTGGATAAAATAAAGAAATAACTATCTAGCTGAGCTAAAAGTAACATTAGTTGAAATTTGTGATGAAATTCCTCAGGAAGTAGTTAAACGCTTAATTATGAGCATGCTGAGAATATTGGAGTGTGTAATAAGGGCAAGAAGATGTATACACCCAATTAACAATACTTAAGTTTGTTTCATATATCACGAATACTCTGGATCAAGGTATGGTCTTGCAGAAGTCGTTTCAGTCTTTGGCAATGTTGGGACTGAGTCGGTCTTCAAGAAAATTTGAGATCATCTGTAAAAAATATAAATATGTCAATCAAAACGTTTCACAATAAATTATTTTAAAATGGCATAGTGCGATATTTTTTTAATTTAACTTCTCATCTAATTTTCTCATGTCCTTATTCAAATATCGACGTGATCATCACACAGATTTCCCACTGCACTCTCATCTCTGCTAAATTGGTATTTGTTTCAAAGTGTAATTCAAAACTAATTAACTAGGAAAACAGATAATACTTTGTTTCACTTTTCCCAAAGTGAAAATTGATCAAAACTAACATTTATGAACACTGGTTGATACAGAGTGTTTGTGAGTGAAGTGGTCAATATTTCTAACACTGAAAACAGAAACACATAATGTTTTATATTCATAAACAAAAGAGAGAGAGGGAGAAGGAAAGAGAGAGAGAGAGAGAGAGAGAGAGAGAGAGAGAGAGAGAGAGAGAATTATAGAAAATATTGGTGTAATATTATTGAATATGAGAGCTTTTGATTATTTAAATAAATAAAAAGTAAACTTATTGGAAAAGTTGAGCAAGAATTTAAAAATAGTCAAAGACAAAAAGCGCAACAATCTCTTTTCCACAATAAGTACTGGGATCTGAATTCAGAACTAGGGGATAATCTTTATATTTCTGATAAAATAGTTTTAATTTTATGAGTGTAATTTTTATACTTAGGGGACAATTATTGGATTTGAATTATAATGTCAATCGTTCTGAAGAAAGACATTTATGTTCTATGTGTAATAGAAAGGAAATAGAGGACTGGTACCATTACGTAGCGGTGTGCCCTATCTTACGATTTTGTTCAGGGTCAGATGGTTTGGGAAAAATTCTAAAAAAAAAAAAAGAAATTGGTTGAGCTCTTAAACGGTTCTGATTGGAATTGTCTATACAACTGTCACATCAAGCTGACAGATATAGAGATTTTTTAGTTGAACAGTTTAATTATTGATCTCATCACTTGTTATATATCTATGTGTAATGTATGTATCTATGGCTACAAGTCAACTTATTCAGATGGACACTGCTCATGTATTAGTGTCCCTTCATAGAATTTTGATACTGTAACTTTGTGTATATTATTATTAATTTTTAAGGGCGTTTTAACGGCTAAGGTCATTTCAAGCCCTAACATCCCAAACCTATCTTAGTTTAGCTATATTCCTTTTGAGTGCTATAAAGCTCTGACTCCAAACATTCATTCGTAAACTAATTTATCCTATTGCCATCCAAGCTTTAATTATCCTTTTAAAATTCTTAATTTGGAAGGCCAAATGTATGCAAAAAACCCATTTTAAATTACATATAAAAATTTATAATTGTTATTATTATTCTTGAAAAGACAAGCACATAAATAATATAAAAATTTCAAAGTGCGCCACTTTTTTTGAGGAGCAGTTTATTTATTTTATTATTATTAATGCTATGTTATGTAAAATTAAATTTATTTCTAAGATATGTACATGTAAGGAGGCTTTAAACCCTATTTGTATTAATAAAATAAATAATAGTCATTTGCTAGACGAGTAAAGGCGGGAGTGTTGGATTCAAAAAGAAAGTAATCCGGTTCGTCAATTGAAACGTGGAGTGGCAGCACAGTCACTTTCGTCGAACCTAGGACGTCGGACCTCCGTAGTAACATTGGCGACAGCCAGTAGTAGACATGGCCTCCGCTAAGAAAAAGTTAGAAGAGAAAAACCTTAAAATAGTACGAGAACTAGTTTCAAAGGCTGAAAACAAACATTGCTTCGACTGCAGGCAGAGAGGGCCGACGTACATCAACATGACAATCGGATCCTTCGTCTGCACCACTTGTTCCGGGATGTTGTGAGTAACGGATGTACCACTGCATTTATATTTTACCCAAAGATCTATTATTGTTCGCAAATGTTTATTTTAAAATTTTTGAATTGCGCGTTTGGTTTATTTTAAGGTCTTGGTCTCGCATTAGGGCTCGATTTATTTTTTTTCTTCGTGAATTAAAAATTTGAACTGTTTCCTTTTCTTTTGTGTTATGTATGTCATACTTCAGTCATGAGTCAGAGCAGATCCGTCTTCCTGGTACAATAAAAAAAGTTTTTACTATTTATTTCATCCCCCTGAGTGGTTAATAGTCTTTGTCAGTTCAAAGTCGTTATTTGTTTATGCGAAGCTTTCAATATCGCTGATATTAACATTAACGTATCAAGTTTATTATTGAGAAATACTTCGTCCGAGGTTTTTTTTTATCAGTTACTGAGATATCGTTTCACTCACATTTCCTCTATATCTTTATTCCAGACCCTATGATAACATTTATTAAATAAAGAGGGGAAAAGTTAGTTTAAATGTGAATAAAGATGCCATATTTAATTGGATGTTTCCGTTTTATACACCAGTTTGTTTGTCTATATGTACGTTATTATCCATAATTTGTATGTTTATAAAACATCCACAGATAGGGATGTATTAATGCTTAAACATAACAGAAGTTTGTTTGAAAATTTTTCATTTGTTAGCTTGGTTTTAATTTAATTTCCTACTTTTCCAAAGAATGTCTTCATAGATTCTTAGATGTAGAATTACATACATACATTCAAACAATTGGACGTACAAACTCAATAGTCAATATGATTAAGATTAGTATATTGTTAATGGTTTACAATATATATTTTTAAAATCTATAATCCATCTATACATTTTATAGTTTGATAATTTATTATCTGTTGTGTAGTGTATTGCAATGAGTTTGATTGTTTGCTATCATTTTGGTCTGACTATCATTGCTGTTTTAATCTATCAGACACGTTTTGAACACACCTGACATACCAAAATAGCAAGCAGACTGAAATGATCTAAAACACTTAAGCTCCATCTTTATCATACTGCATAATATGCAAAAACAACCGGACTCCGTACATATTTTGTTGTTTATTTCTGTGTGTTTTTATTGTTATATTAATTACAACATATGTACTTATTTTAATATAAATCAAATTATACAAGGTGCAAAAGTCATGAGTTTTAGTAAAAATTATTTAATTATGATGGTTTGAAAGAAAATTTACCAAAACACTGGGAAATAATTTAGGGCCAATAATATATAATATTGTGAAAAAAGTTGAGTATATTATTAATTCTATTATATTTTGTGGTCCGATTGACCAAATAACTTCTTTCAATTTATTAATCTTTTTATGTAAGGTATTGGTTGAAATGAAAATGTTAGTGTCATGTGCTATATTATTAATGTTTTACAATATACATTTAAAAAAATATCATTTATTAACTTTGTGTAGTGTGGTGTAATTAGGTTGATTGTATTCTATCATTTTGATCTACCTTTGCTGTTTTAGTCTAGTAGACAGGTTTTGAAGATTGAAACACATCTGACAGACCAAAATAGCAACTTCAAGCAGGCTACTAGACACTGGACGCATTTTGTTTTTATTTCTATGTGATTTTTGTGTTAATTACAACATATGTACTTATTTTAATGTACCAAATTAAACGGGATCCAAAATTCATGAGTTGTAATAAAAATTATTAATTATGCTGGTTTGGAAGAAAATTGACCAAAGCATCAGGAATTCATTTAGGGTCAGTAAGGGTACAGTTGAGTATATTATTAATTCCATTATATTTAGTGGGCTGAGTGACTAAATTCTTTCAATTAATTAATCTTTTTTTTTTAAATCCCACTCGTTTTATTTCAACCAAGACCTTACATAAAAAGATGAATATATTATTAATGTTTTACAATATGTATTTAAAAAAAAATTCAATTTCATGGTTGTTGGATTATTTACTACCTTTGTTTTGTAATGTACTCTGATAAGCTTGATTGTTTGCTATCATTTTGGTCTAAATATTTTTGCTGTTTTATTCTATCTATCTTATAATAACGCATTAAGAGCAAACTAGGTAAAAAATAATTAGTTTAATTTTAGTCTGTCACTAAATGATATTCCGTTGTTTGGGTGAATTTTCTTTCAACCCATTATAATTAAATACTTTATTTAATTAAAACTCATGAATTTTGGATCTCGTTTAATTTGGCTTATATTAACATAAGTTCAAAATAAACAACAAAATACTTCCAGTGCCTTTGAGTGTATTACCAGGTAACAAGAAAAGTTTGTGCAGTTTTTCATTTGTTATTGAGTAGAATAGAATGCACTTTATTTTTACAAACAAGTTACAAGAATAACAAAAATATCAAAGTGCAGAAAACAGCATAGATGTTACTCCATCTGCTGGAGGTTTTTTTTAAACATGCTTTGAAACCTGCCAGGCATGTTTTATAAGGTTTTCCCTTAACAGAAACTCTAGTAATTGTACCCTGTGTTGTTAGGCAGAAAGCCTTAAATGCAAAAACTCCACCTCTCCAAGTTAGTGCATTCCACCATAAAATGGAATGCATTTTCCGGACTGCGTGAATTGCATAAAGAGCACAACTTCTCATTGTCTTGCAGCAAAACAACCACATTTAGGGACAAATACATCTCACATCTTGAACAGCCATCGAAGGTCAGATAGATTTATACCATCTAATTGTAAGTTAGGTTTCTGAAAGTCAAACAAACCAGGCCTCTGACAAAGCTGTGTGTAAAAAATCTGTGGTCAATAGATAAACATAACTCATCATGATATACTTGGGAAATACGGGCTAAGAGTGTTTTCAAATAAGAGCTCCATTCGGTTATATTCTCTAAGTTTAAAATGCATCAAATAAGAATTGCCAAGAGAGGTTGGAGTCACCAACTACTTTAGCCGTAATATTGGCAAGCCTAGAATCTAGTTGCCGTTAGGTCTTAACAATGAAAGCAAAGTGCAGTTTGAAAGGATAAAAAGATCAGTGACAGTTTCTAAGTACAGGAGATGGTTGGGTGTGATAGACAAAATAATGAAAACAATTTCCTAATGAAGAAGCGCTATACTTTCTCCACCCCATTGTTCATTTGGTATCCCCAAATTTGGCATCCAAACCTTAAAGTTATTTACAAACCGCATTGAATACAGACTATTATGTTTACAGTGGTACGACATTCTGCATAATAAAAGAAAATAAGACAAATTTATCACTGTTTTGACTACAGGAACTTTTTTTGAGATATGTATGGACCAGGAAAGATTGGGTGTGAGTATAACTCATAAGTATTTGTATTTAGTGACTATTTCGATTCTTTCCCCTTTGAAGAATCGCCTATCTGATGAACAGAGTTGAACCCCTCTTCTAAAGATGATGATTTTTTTATTGTTATTGTGTTAATATTGTTAATCAACATTTATATTTACATATGAGAATGAAATATTTGCATCATATAATACCAATAAAACCAAGAAAATAATGTGCCAGTTCACTGTAGATTATACATTTTTTTTCTCATGGTTTCAAAACCCATTATTATTGTATGAATTTTACTATAGAGTACTAAGGTGGCTGAGTGTGTGATGTCTGAAGTATAAAAGAGTTATTAGCGGAATGGAGTGGGCTCAACCTGCCCCAAGGAATATCCAGTACTTTGGGTAGTGAATATGTCCAGTGTTCTATATTTGTATCAGGTGGAGATGGGATACTGGTGTGTAGGAATACCGAGTACTACTGATGCCGGGTCTGCTCCTGCCCACCCTGATTTTCCGTGGTTTGGTGGTTTCTGGGTAGGGCGCCTGGTCTCTCAAAGAGAAGTGGTGATGTCCTGCTGGGTTTTGTGTTCTGAGTTGGGGGGGGGTTCTAGTTGGCTGCAGTGCTCCAGCCGATATATATATATATATATGTTTTTGTTTCTGTTGGAAAGTTGACTGCTTGAGGTACAAACTCAAGGCTAGTATTCTATGACATCAACATAGTATACATGTAAAAATAGAGAGACAGAAACCAGATAGAGAAGCACAAATGGCTACAGTTAAAAAAAAAAAATCATGAAAGACTAGAAAAACAAGTAAATACACAGAGGGCTAGCAATGACCTCGGCTTGTTTCCTGCCCATACTTCCCCACATTTTATAATACATATTGCTTTCTTTCACCCCTGCTTCCAATGTTATGATTGTGATAGCATTTTAATCTTTAATGAATTTTTTGTATGCCGTATACGCCAGTTTTGGGCTCTACAGTATTGTGTTCAGACATTCCCTTAAAAAATGACATTGATGCATGAGATTCCAAGCATTTTGCAACATTATTTGAAAAGAAAATGTTTAACCACCAGTTTGGTGTGTTAATTATGGAAGATGTGAGTTAACGAGCTGACTGTGGTTAGAAACATTTGGAAGTTACACTCTTGAAACAAATATAAGTTCAATGTAAGAAAGGAAAGTTAACGATCTGAAGATGATCTCAATAAAGATTGAAACATTGGCATGATAAAGAAAATGTTTTTCTAAACCTGCAACAGACCGCATCTCACAATCTTTAATCCGTAACCATTCTTCCATGCTGATAAAAGTTGAGAAGCTTATTGCAATGATGTGCATTATGTTTAAATCCATAAAGTGGCAAGCCACATGCAACATGATTGACCCCATTGCTTGCCAACCAGCATTTAATTTTAGCCTCAATTTGTTTATTCATCGCTTGATAGATGGTACATGGCTTGTGCTTTTGCTGATTTGTCTTTTCTTTCAATGCAGTTCAGACATAAAATGTAATACCAATTTTTAATCCAAAGTGTTAACAAATAAATTGTATTTATGTAATGATTCAAACCATGTTTGCACAAAATAGTCATCATTCTCAATTCATAATTTAATGAATAGTCTCAAAATAATAATTATCACCAGATATAAATTAAATAAATTTAAAAAAAATTGTAAACTAAAAAAAATACTTGTTTTACTTATAATTCTTCATCTAATTATATATTCTTTCTCTATTGAGGTTCTATGTTTCCACACCTATTAATTCAAGTTTTCTCATCTCATATGTTAAAAATGTGCAAATAAGAAGTGGAGACCAAATTATTAAAAGCAAACTGATTATTTGATTAAACTAATCTGTTTGAAGATAAACAATTTTGCATTTGTACTTTTAATCTATATAAAAAAATAATTTGAGAGTGCGCTTTGTTTCGTGAGAGAAAATTTCAGGACCCGGAATTCAGAGATGGACAAGCAGAGAGATTTTTACATGAAAGCCCTCACCGATATTGGTTATGCTGTCAAGACCTCATGGAACTTGGAACAGGTGGAGAAACTGCTTTTCAAATCTTCGGCACAGAGGAAAAAGGTTCTGAAGAAAGTAGCCTCTAAAATAGAGAATAGAGATAAAGACAATTACACAGATGAAGAGTTGCTTCAAGTAATCTCCAACATTGTCAACATCCCTAAGAACTTGGAAAAGTCTTTCATTGAAGGTGTTACACCTAAAACGATTCAGAAAAATGTATGGTGCTCCATATTTCAAGAATTGAAACATTTAAATTTTGTGGAACCAGCGAAAAAGATATCGGACAAAAAATACTTTGATTTTCTTAACAAGCTTGTCTTTGAGGAAAAGTTATCTTATGATACAGCTGTTGAAATAGTTGGCATTCAAGAAGATTGTAACGAAATGGATGGCCCAAGCATAACAGCAGACTTGATGGTTCAGCTCAATAAAACCATTGCGGAAACAAAAACAAAACTAGAAATTAGTCATTCTGAGGAAATCGTGGAAGGTCCTACATTTGAAAAAATTGATGGTTTCTTAAAACTGTTAGTTGATTTCAATGAAAGATGCAAAGAAAAAGAGATAAAATATGGGGAGAGTGTCATCACCGATGTAACCATCAAATTAGAAAATATTACAGATTGTTTCAAAACCATAAGTGACATCAAATCCTTGGAAACTGAAGTGAATCATCATTGTATTTTGTCTAATAAATAAATGCAACTTTACAAAAAAGAGAAAAAAATTATATAACATTTTATATTTACAAAACTGTCGTATTTGTATGTAAAATAAAAATACTTTAGATAAAAGAAATAAGATATGAAACTTCAGCCCAGACAATATATTTTAAAGTTTGAATAGACATTGTTACAATTTCTCTTAATACTTTTTATTCTATTTTCAAATATATATATGCAGATGTAATAAAAATAAAAGAAAGTATAATATTGTATGTGAGATTAATTCTGAAAAAAATATTGTAAACTGGTTCTGACCACTCATCTGCGACACCCATTGAGATAAGTTTGGATACCCCTCTGTAAGACAGGAATTACATACCTTAAAAGAAAGCAAAATATGCTTTTTTTTTTAATTAAAAATAAAAAAATAATGAAAACTATGTAAAACTACACCAGTACTAACATTCAGAACTTCTAACATTATTAACAGACATTTAAAACATTTTTTAACAGACTTTTTTTTAAAATATATTATAACGTGAAGACAATCATTTATCAGGAATTTATAAGAATGACAGAGCTGCGTAGCAACGCATTCACGGAATGTGATTGCATGATAACAGAATTATCTAATTATAAAAGAAGGCGTTTTGCACTGTTGTGTGTCATTTGGTTTTACCACACTACTGGAGGAACTGGTAAGAACAATTTTAAATTCTAACTTGCTTATTTCAATTAAAATGAAGTCAAGCCTTAAAATTCTATATGAAACTGCTTAATTGTATAAGTTGATTGAGCCGAGACATTTTTTTTTTTTTTTTTTTTTTTAATGAAGTAGAAAAGAGCTAGCTACTCAGTTTGAATTTATTATTGTATTTTGATTTTTTTTGGGTGAAAGAACCAGCTACCAAGTGAATTGTAAGTGAACCACAATATAACAGATGAGTAGATGATGCTGTATGTAATTTCTATTTGCTTGTAAGGCAGATCAATGAAAACAGTAATTTGTTTGGTGTTTTGTCAGAAATTTGAACTGTTGTCAAAATAGAGCTTGACTGAGGTCTCATTCTTACTGTTTTGCATGTTGGATGCATTTGTCATCATTTTGCCAACTTCAAAAATTGATCTACGGTTTAGTTTCTCTTTTTCAACCAACAGGTCCATCACCACAATATTTGACAAATTAGAAAGTGCAAGAATCCGTTTTTGATAAGCAAAAACTAGTCATTTGATGTATTTTTTCTTTGTACAAATTGTTTATAATAGATGATTGTCTTATTTCATCAACCATAGTCTAGGAAATCGCTCAGCTGTGGCCTGAGCTACTTTTTTCAGTGCTGTGCTACTGTGCTGGAAATCTCCAATCATGCTACCAATTTACTGTTAACTACTCATTATGACATATGTTTGCTATGACCATCACCTCTACAGAATTATAAAAAATGCAATTCTTGAGATTTTTATATTTTAGATTAAATTATTAATTTGTTGGAAATAAGGTGGTTTTTTTTTGGGGGGGGGGGTAGAAATAATAACTCTAAAAGAAATGTTTTTAATGGGAAACTTTTCCAAAAAATGCTTATAATAAAACTACAAAAAATACTAACATAGTTTTATTGCCTGAAAATAAATTTCTAAACAAATTTTGTCATTTAGAGTTATTTTTTAAACAAAAATAACACAGAGCAATCATTCAACTTGGTGGAATGCCAAAAAGTGTCTGACAGATTAAACCGGACAAGCAGACAGACAGAAAAAATGAAATTCATTCTCTTTTTATTTTGGTAGTTGTTGAATTCATCACCTTCTAGGAGCTTGAAACAAGCCTGGAAAAGGCATTGGACCCAAAATATGTATAGGCAATAAAGAATAAAACAAAGAAAGTGGTTGTGAAGTGTGAAATAATTGGTTTTGTTAATTATTTATGGCAAAATGGCAAGGATTGCCAAAATAAAAGGTCCTTTTTTGCAACTAATAGTTTAATTAGAGATATGTGCTAAAATCACACCCTATAAAAAAATTTCAAAATGAAGAATATAATTTTATTCGCAAGCCTACTTTTAGATTCAGCTTGTTATAATGTATTATCAGAGCAATATGTTATCGCCCAAGTTGAAGTTGTAAACAGATAAGTGTATCAGTGTATTAAATATCGTACCAGATGGCGACAGACTTAATTGTAAGGGAAATCAGAAAACTAATATGTATTCAATCAGTTATGAAATGTTCTAAAATTCTTGTCAATTTTTTTTACTAACAGCAATTGGTGTTTATATTAACATATTTTTATCAATAATTTTTTAAAAGTTTTATATTAGAAACAGACATTTGGTTTTATGGATATTTTAAATTTATCTAAAATGAGTATTTTAATCAACTAATTTTTTATGGTGTTTTTACTTTTGTATATCTATTTCTTGGTATTAAATAGATTTATAGATAGTATAACTATTTAAATATTTTTATTACCTGTTTATCTACATCCTGAAATATGTATGTATGCTTAAGCTTTGTGCCTGTTTATTTTATATTATCTACACTTTTGTCATGTTAATGGTTTTTGGAATTCAAGTATGAATTAATTTGTTTTAGTATAAATAGTAAAAAAAGGAATTGTAGAATGACCTGACCTCACATTCACAATCCAAAGGGTGGTTGGACATAAGCTCTCCTTTATAACTGGCATTTATAGTTAGTCATAGTTTTCAGCGCTAGCAAAAAATAAAAAAAGAACAATTAAAAACTATTACAATATTATTATTGTTTTCTTACATTTCGACCTCAACAGTTTAACTTATGATTTTTCCTTCTTGAAGGTGGGATAATAGGTCATGACCTATTAATGACCTATTATCCCACCTTCAAGAAGGAAAAATCATAAGTTAATATTATTATTGTTATAATTAGGTATTGATGCCAATCTCATTTTAGGAGAGGCCTTACCCCACCACATAGAGTGAAATCTATATCTATGGCAACTTTCAGTCCAGAGGAAATAGACTTTATATCTGCCCGTGGCAATGAGGTAATAATTAAAATTTTCAATCTGTAATTGTTTTGTTGTAACAATGATTTATTGTGTTTTGCAGTATTGTAGAAAAGTATGGTTAGGATTATGTGATCAAGAACAACTTAGCAAGGATGAGCAACAGATTAAAGATTTCATGATATCAAAATACGAGAGAAAAAGGTAATTCAGAGGGAGAAACATATAAATTTAATTAATAATACAAGTTTATTGTGTTATCAGATATTATGTGAAAGCTGCTGAAAATGAGTTTCTAGTCCAAAATGGAAATGGCAGTAAAAATAGTAATATAAATTCTAGCATGAATACTCCTATACCAAAAATTTCACCTTTAAGTTCCAATTTATCCTATATGGTAAGACTGAACTAAATTTAACATTGAATTTAATAATTACATTTATATATATATATATTTTTTTTTAAAGACAAATGGAGGGAGTGGCCTGAACAATAATACAATTTCTAAAATTAGCAAGAACAATAATTTGTCCCCAACCGGGAAAAACGACTTACAGAATGGAAGCAGTTTTATAGATCCTTTTAGTCCAATTAGCTTTAACCAAAGCAGTGCTCCTGTTAACCATTTCAGCACTGAACCGATGCTGCCTGATCAACAGCAAACTACTGATTTTGCAAATTTTGACAACAATCCTGTCTTCAGTAATACTTCACAAACAGGTAATATATTAAAGTTTCCTAATGCTTTTACTTATAGGGATGAATATTTAAGCAATGTTAGTCGGTTATAAATGACTAATGCTGTTACATTTACAAACAGTTGAAAGTTATGCATATATTTGCGGTAATCTCTTACAATTATTAGGTTGGTGGGACTTCAATCAAATTCAATCTGGCATTGAAATGTCTGGATTGAGTTACAACACTTGGGGAACAACACATACTATCTCAAATTATGATACACTATACCTAAATAGTGAGTTTTAAAAGATTATATTATCATGATTGTTTTGTTTTATTTATTTTTTCATTTGTTCATTTTTTGCTAAATGTTTTATTATGGTTACTAAAGATTGCTCTTACAGCTAACCAATTTCTCTTCTTAATAATATTGTTCTTAAATTTTTTTTCAATACAAATTTTTTTTGTGACAATAACTGGATTTTGAACTGATAATTCAAATGTTTTCTGTTTTAAAATTTTGAGCATGTTAATAATAAAGGTGTTTTGATTGTTAACATGTGTGAATGGATACAAAATAATTATACATTTTTTTATACATTATATATTATAATACATTATACATTTTTTCCGAAATCCATTTCCCACTATTGGTGAACTGATACAACAAATTTATTTACTTTGAAGCTATGATCGGCTTCCTCTTCAGCATCATTGGGTAGATTGGTTACATACTGACACATAATGCTGAAGAGGAAGCTCGTCAGAGCTTCAAAAGCACTAGGAAGAGAATACATTTTATCATATTAGTTAATTAATTACAACCCTACACTGATAAAATACTGAATGATAATGAGAGAAAAAGAAAAAGAGTTTAGTCATAACTTATCCCCCATAACTTAAAATATTATTGTTTTTGGTATTACTACTGTTTTAATAAATTGTATCCGGTATTACTACTGTTTTAATATATGTAAATAAACCCTTCTTCAGTCTCATTTCTTCTATACCAATTATAATAGAGTTAAGAAATTCTCACACTACTGTGATGTAATCGGATAAGAACGTGTACCTCTTGAATTTTTGTGGTCTTTAAAAATTGCAAAGCATGGCTCTGTTTATTGTCGAAATGAATTATTTTTATCACTATCAAATGAAACACTACATTCGAATTATGGAAATTGGAGGAGTTTTCTACCCTAGCTTACTTCACAGTACAAATGTTTTGTTGAAAGAATTGTTTTGTACAACGATGTTTGGTAACTGTTACATGGTTTCAGTGAATAAGAGTATTTTTCCTCACGAAAATGAACCTCGCCTGCACATTTTCTGTCACGCAAAGCACAAATTTTCTGAAAACCCAATCTTTTAGTCCTGACCACGTTCATTCAGTCTTTCATCTTTTCTGAGCAATGGTCTATTTCCTTTAAGGAAAAATGTATCGTAACTTTTCAATTGACATCAACGATATGGGGATGTCAGTGGCCGCAACGGTTAACGCATTGGCAAGGTGACTCAAACACTGGCACCCTGGGCGTTGATATGAGTAATATTTCAATTATTTAAATAATTTGCTTTAAGTTTAACTTTTGAAAGTTTGTTCTTTCTTACTTTTATAATAAGCCTCACCTTGTATGTGATAAATTCATTTTCATTTAATGTCTTAAATGATTTCTGTCTTGTTTTTTATAAATTTAAATAAATCTGTTTGTTTTCTTTATTTATAAATACAATTTGTGATTGAAGCATTTTCATGTTTTTTTTTTTTTTTTTTAATTATTAATACAACTATCTGTTTTATTCAGTTGTATGTCACTATTCATTTTAGGTACAGCAGTGAATAGTTTTGATAAATGCCCTCCACCACCAAGTGAAGATCGCTATGCTGCTCTTAAGGCATTGGACAGTTTGATGAAATCTCAGGTTATGGAAACGGCAAGTACTCAACAAACCCAGGCTTCTTCAAATGATTGGGGTGATTGTTTAAAAACCATTTTTCCCTTAGCTTCTTAAAATAAAGTCAATAATAAAAATTCCATAGGGTCCACATTTATGTGGCCAGGTGCTTCAACATGTGAGGTGTCAAACGAAGATGTTAACAATCAATCATCAAATAATATGTGCAATCCTTTTTCATCAAGTATGTTGAAATTTGTATATTATATACTTAAATTTCTGTTTGTATTTAAACATAACTTGTATTTAATTTTTTTTAGACTTTGAAAATGGTTGGAAATCTACACAGCATTTTGTCGGAAATCCTTTTAAAACAGGTAAATCAACCAATCACCATTTCATTTAAAACTCTTGTTGTAAAGATAGTATTGTCCAAGTTCTTTGATAATATGATTTTGTTTTGACACTTCCTCATTACAGCTAGTTGTCTGAGCATCAGTTTATCATTTCCTGTTAAACATTATACTAATATATTCAGTTTACATTGTAGTTATTCATTGGATTCAATTGTTTAATTTAAAATAATTTGCTATTTTAGTACCTACTTAAAGCTGTAAAGTTTTGAAATGTATTATAAGTGAAGATTGATATTTTACCTAAATGAATTTGTGTTTTATTTTTTAAAGAAATCTCGTGGTCAACTAACAATGTATCTAATGGTTTCATAAATCAGCCATTTGACACTACAAAACCAATTTGGGAAACTCAGTTGCTTAATCCATTCACCGTAAGTTAATGTTTGACCATTTTATTAATCTTGAAATAAAAACCATATAGACTCTTAACATTTTAGGTTGGTTCCAATGGTCAAACTTCAACTCATCATTCAAACAACCCATTTTTATGAGGATTTTTATAATTTGAACAGGTAAACTTATGTTTTCCTAATTAAAAATATTATTCACTTGCCAATAATTATTTCATAAAAATGTAACTTCTCTACATAATAATTTTATTTTTCAGAACTGTTTCATTATAACAGGGTGTTGGATTAATGAAACAAATCTAACGGAAACTTTAATACTAGCCTGATGATTCAAAATTAGCCAGCAGAGGGTTACCAAATTTTGACAGTGTAAAATTCTTTTGGTAAAATTGACTCCACTTACATTCAAACAGTTTAGGATAAAACATATTTTTAAATGTTTTTATCTCTATTACTTTTAAAGCAAATGTATTTTAATAAATACAGTTTAAAATTCTGACTTCGGCCGTCCAATAATGACATTAAAAGATATTAAATATTATATTTAAAAAAGAAAAAATATATTTCAAGGGCAGAAAAAAAAATATATATAGACACACACAAACTAAAAACCATTAGATTGTTCATTATTATTATTATTATGTATTCTGAGAAAGGGTGTTCTAACCAATTTAAAAATAAATAATAATAAAAAGCCCTGTATAAGTTCTTTCAATTTAAATTCTAAGTATTTTCAAACTTTTTATTTACCTTAGAACAAAACTATAAGTTTTTTCTAGTCTGAAAATGTAAAATTTTATTAACTATATTGGACATAATAATTAACATCAATGAGCATATAGCCATCAAATTATCATTTATAAGATCTAATTCTGTAACTGTTGTTAAAAATTATCTTACAAGGAATAAATAAATTTATTTGTTAATATAGCCAATTTAAGAAATCATTCTTAATATTACATACATTAACAATATATTTTGCAATACAATTTAATGAGTGGGAGATTGAGCATGAACAGTTTTGCGAAATAGATTTTTATCAATGACATAGACAATGAAATATTGTATCATGTAATTAAATTTTACATCAAAAGTTTTATTGAATAAGAGCAACTCCACAACAAGAACATTTTTAAAAATTAAATTATTAAATTTGATAAATTAAAGCATTTATGAGAACATTATACATGATATTGGGTTTTGTGCATAAATAGACGTGATTGTTAAAAATGCTTCATAGCACTGTTTTTCTCTTTTTTTTGTAGTGTCATTAAAGAATGTATAAATTATTTTAATATAAGCACAAATTGAAATGTCACAGTTTTAATTAATTTATTGTTATTTAATTTTTATATATATTGGCTATTGATTATTCTGTAACAGTTAAGAAATAGTTTTACAACAGTAGACACAGATGTTGATTTTGAAATGTTATAAGGAGTACATATTTCTTCTCTTATGTGCCTTTCTCTTTTATTACCAAAATATATTCTAAAGTTAGTGGCATTTGATGCTCGGAAGTAACAAATATTTAGAGGAAAAATACGTCCTACCAAAGATATTTTATAATAATGTTTAAAAAAATTCTATAACGAACATGATTCAAATCTGATTAAACTGTTTTTTATTTTTATATATATTTCTTATCGTGTTCCAGATTGCTGGAGCTTCCTTAGCAAAAAGGTATTAAAATATTAATGTTTATATAACGTTTATGCTAACAGTGCAATTTGAATGAACAATAATTTTTGTTTTAACTTTCCTCATTTATGTTATGAATTTCATATTCAATTTGTAATGTTATAATAATGACATATATTAAAATATGAAATCTCACTAATTATTTATATTTTACTTTTTTTATAATCATATAAACATACTCTTCTTACTTTTTCTTCTTCTTCTTCTTTTTTATAGCGGCATATTTGTGTAATAAGTAATGTATAATATGTTAATATATGGTTATGTGATACTACAATAATAAAAATTTATCTTCACAAAGATAATAAACTTGTATTTTATATATTGTCTATTTATTTACCTAATTTATTCTTAATACAATTTTCATCTTCACTCATCCAGCTCAAAACAGAATTGTGAAGAGAAATTGACAAAAAAAAAGACCTTATGTCAGGTCCAAATGCAAGGCCGCTAGATTTGAACTCAGTACTTTTACCGTACAGTGATGTGTTTAAACCATTGCAGCCTCTGATAATGACACCCCTAATTTAATAATTTTAAACAAGAAATAAGTGATTGTTTTCAACCATTAAGCATAATCCAGTATATTTTGTGGTCCGATTGACCAAATAATTTCTTTCAATTAATTAGTCTTTATGTAAGGTATTGGTTGAAATGAAAAAGTTAGTGTATCGCTCGTGACACTAATTTTTTTATTTCAACCAATATCTTACATAAAGATTAATTAAGCATGATATTTAAACTTATATTTATGAATTGGAAAAGGATTTCAAAAAGATTAATGTGAAACAGTTTAAATGTTAGTAATATAATGTACTAGTTATGGTCAAACAAACATCTAATAGTATCACTGGCCCTTTGCAAATTAACACATTTGTGAATTTTCTTTGGCACATTTTCTCACCGATTCTCTCAAATTTTTTTCTCCTGTTTTCTTAACTTATTAACCTATCTTTCTTAACACAGACTGTCAAATTACTAATAAAAGAACAGAAGACATTCATACAAACCAAAGATTTTCACTCAACCGGCCATTCAGTAAATTTCGTTAGTATTCGCCAGCTCTCTTTTTGCTGCTTATTTCTTTTACTTTTCACATTTTATTCCTTCTAATTCATTTTCTGGAAACCACAGTCGAGCTGTATTCATGTCAATTAGACTTTTAATATTATGGTAACAAACTCTAATTCTCAATCTTGTTGCCAGCCTCTCTATCTCAGAGTCTCATCAGTCAAGGATAAAAATAAACACAATTTAATAATCACAAATATACACATTAAAAAACAAGTTAGTCTGATTAGCATTCAGCATCCCACTTGTGACACTCACTTTTTTAACTCAGCCAAAACCTTAATTAATGATTAATTAATTGAAAATAATTTATTTGGTCAATCGAACCACAAAACCTAATAGATATTGAAAAGTGTCTATACTTTATTACCATATAAAACAATGTTATTGACCAGTATCAGCCAGTGCTTTTTTAATTTTTCCTCCATAAAACTCCCAGATATTGAAAAGCAACAATACTTCATTGTAGTATATACTATAAAACAACCTGTTAAAACCACTACATCAGTTAAACCAGTAGTAGTGTAAACAGATCTTAATTAGCCCTTGTATACAAAATGTACCAATATCTGTAAGTTTTTTTGTTTACTTTTTCCTTTCTGAAAATTACTTATATTACAAAATTGTCTATACTTTATTTTTTGTAGTACATTACAACCACTACACGACGTAAAACGGTGGTAGTATAGAGAGGTTCTTAACAAGTCTTTGTATTTGATATGTACCAGTATCAGTCAGTTTTTGTTTTTGTTTTACCTTTTCCAGTCTAAGAATATATATTGAAGGGCTTTAATATTCTATTTCATTTTGTAATATTTTAAACGCAAATAACGAGTGCTGAATTAAAACTTAGGAGTCTGGTATTGTGTAGATTCGAATTTAAACGGGGGATGGGATTTTCCCTCGAATGCTTTCTGTAGGTGAACGGTGCGACGGGATTGGCGTTGGTGGGAGCTTGTTTTTTAATCCAAACAAGTAAGGAGGGCTTGGATTGGCGGAGGCTAATGACAAGCAAGGGCAACATTGGTTGACGGCATTATTCTAACCAATTAGATCGCAGCTCTTAAAGTAATTCCAGTGTTTTACACGATACCGTACGTAAGATGTGGGAAGAAGGATTTTGATAATTTTGCAATTCGAAGCCTCCTCTTCCGAAATAGAAATGAGTGAGTAGAATTATTATTATTACTGCATGCAGAGTTTGGCCAAGAAGAGGAGACCGGACGGGCTCGTTATTCACCGGGGTCCCGAGTGCTATGTTTTACTCGGCAAGTATTGAGCGATCGGTTCACCCAAGCCGAAAGAGGACATTTCGAATGGCGTTCGCAAAGTTCATTGTTCTCTCGGTCGTAGCGTAATTATTGTTAATAGCCAGTCATAGTCGAGAAAAGTCGTCTATATTTAGAGTTAATCGTCTTATTTATCCGTATATTTACTATATAAAACGTGGAGTTGCGTGTATTTTTAGTTTTTACGGGCTTTTAGTGTTGTCTAAAGTCGTTCGGTTCATAATTAACTCTGGTCAATAATGCCGATTGTAATCCTCGGACGAGTCACGGTTTTCAGCATCCTGCGACACCCTGTTTTCTCCGGTAAAGTACTTTCATTTCCTATTGTTCTTATTTGGTTTTTTAACTCGTCTTTGCATTTTTGAATATTATTAACCTAACGCAAGAAGAGGTTTTTTTCTACGGCGTGAAACGCTTTGTAGGATCCAGGAACGAGCCGAATAAATAAATTCGCATTCGAAATTAAATTTATTCGTGTGCTCTTTAATAAAAGTTCCTCCAAACAAAAATAACTACTCTACTAACCTACAAAATCATAAACACATCTTTTCGGATAGCGTTTCGGGCCAATTTTATAAACATTATTTTTCAAGGCGCCTGTTTTAAAAAAAAGTATTCATGTTGAAATGGTATAAATGAAGAATATAATTAATAATTAATTAGAAGGCGTCTCGGATTCACTCCCGAGTCGTGTCGATGTAGTTTCCGATGAAGTCCGCAAATCAAAGGGCCCATTAGAAAACATGGCAAACCAATTAGAATGTCACCTTTACCACGTAAAACTCGATTCGACCCTTTAGGTTTTCCTATCTCGGCCGGGTTTAAATGTGATTTTAGTAAGATTCCCTGATCGAAATTAGTTCGGTAGTGAATCGTTTCTCACCAATAGGCTTTGTTTACAAAAAGGCGAGATTCCCGATCCCCCCGAATCCCGAGAGACCTTTCGGGCCATTCCCCCCACAGGACCGAACGCATAATTATTGAATTAAGAACATAGCTTTTTTTGTTGCGTAAGTCTTTTGGATGCATGTTTTTTTAAATGTTATTCATAGGGAAGAGAGCAGTTCACGGAGGATGAGAAATGAATGAGTGGAAGCGGGAAAGGTTGTATCGCTTCTGTAAACGAGTATCAAAAGCGTATAGCTTTTCCCCTTTTTAACTTGTTCACAGTCTTCGCAGCCAGTAAAAGAAGAATTTTCTCAGTTGGATTTGGTTTTTATATTTATAAGTACATAGAATGTTCCAGCATTGATTGGATAGTTTTGACCTAAAGCACGTCTACTAACACTGTACAAAAACGCTAATTTTAGTTGCTTGTAAATTTATTAATTTTATTAACACAAATCCTTATTATAAATCTAACTAAATAAGAATAAATTTTAATATGGGCAAACTCTGTGGACATTCATCATGTTTTCCACGTTTGCCCTGTAACGGTTATTATACTGAAACCGGGCCTACTAATCAAATTTCTTGATGAACTAGGACTCAGAGGTGTTATATAGACAGAATGGGAGAATAGCTCTTTAATGGGCACAGTGTAATACACACCCCGACTGATACATCTACATCTATGGTTATTCTGCGATATTTTGATTTTTAGCTTATTAAATTTTTCAATAATTCAGACAGATTTGGAAGCCACCCCTTTTCAACTTTTTACATAACACAATTTGAACAACAACGTACAAAATATGCCGTTCTTAAACATAAATCACACTGGCTGAAGATGCCCTTGACATAAAGAAAAGGACACGCTTGATAGTTAAATTCACTGATTACTGATTTATATAAGCTCAAATCTGCACACACATGTGCATACTTATTCACGTGTACAGAGTTGAGCCTATCACTTCTAGTTGTCCACCAGGAATTCCAGCTTTCGTAATTTACAGTACACTGGCAGGCATCAAGAATCACCTACTCTAGGGCCCTGTTTTATAATAAAATACAAACTAATAATATTAACATAGTAACTTGTAATTTGTTCAATTTTGTTTCATAATAAACAAAGTATAAAATCACAATGTATAAGTGGTTTAGTCGAAAGTACAAGAAAGATTGTTTAAAACACAAGAAATTCTGTTTCATAAACAATCACTTGATAATTCATATGCATATTTATAAATTAACCATCCTTATTTAAACTAGTAATACAAGATCACCTGTATTATCAAAATATTAATGCAAACTTCCAAAGGTTAGATTACTTTTGCTCCTGCATTTCTTTACAATCCTAGAGGTTTTTTTCCAGTAGTGACGAACAAATTACCAACTGTGGCTCGGCAAAATGTTACTAGGCATAGAAAACTTGCAGAACAATGATCAGTTTTGACTTTCCAAGTGTTTTTGAATTTAAAGAATGGTGCAAAATAATGATGAAGATACGACCAATAATAGAAAACCCTACAAGAAAAGGGACATCACTTTCAGCAAAACAAACACTGCATTGCATTGGCTGGAAAGTGATAGCAAATATATGCGTGTAAAACATGTCGTGATTGAAGTCAATACGTTTTTATTTCGCACAATTGTTGCAGGCCAGAAAATGTCACCATAATTATTATTAATTATTTGGAGATCATGAGATGTGGTCTGGTGTGACGTAGGTTTTTAGAAAACATTTTCTTTATCATGCCAATGTTTCGATCTTTATTGAGATCACCTTCAGGGCTCAAAGTGTTTTTTTCCATGTAGATATGTCATTCTTGTGAGTTGTGTTAATTTGTTCAATTTTCCTCATGTTTGTGAAATAATAGATCACTGATTCTACCATAAAAATGAGCTCTTTTATTCATTTTTAATAGGTAGTTAACAGCAATAATAATAACAATAAGCAATAACAGCAACCTGTGTTGCTTGAAACAGCAAATGTTTTTGATTTCCTCTCTAACCATACAACTGATTTGTACTTTTATAGTTTTTTATAGTTATAATATCACCTGTAGTATTAGTGAGGCCTTCTCTATTATGAAACAGAAAGTATTGGTGCTTGTACTTTGTAGTTTGTGTGCTTGTATATAAGCCCAAGATGTTAGCAGTTTGGGGTCAGACCTTGTTCTTATCCGCCCAGTGCTGAGGTTGGGCTTCGGGTGCTGTCAGCAGCAAGGTCATTTCAGCTCTCAATGCAATCAATACGTTAATCTATTCACACTTTCATTCGCACTTAAATACATTCTTATTTATTTACATACTTTTCATTCAGTTAGGTAGGTGGATGATTTCTTCCATCGCCCTTTACACCTATTTATATAACTAACCTAATTGACGGTCAGTGAGGTTCTCACTATTCCATCATTGGCCCTCTAACACTACATATTCATGCCAATAAATACATTCACTCTCAGCACGTGCTAGCGATACAAAACTATCGCTACTATATACAATGAAACAAACCTGTTTCTCCTAGATAGATACATGTATTAATATTATTATGCATTATTATTGTAAATCCTTTCCTCAGATAACATCAAATCAAATATACATTACTATTTCTACAGGAAAAACACAAAGCAAACATAAGTATAAAGTTAGGTAGACATTTGTGACATGATAATTGGATTCTTAACAATCCAAATGTTTCCATAATTTATTTTCACAAACTAATTAACCTGCCCACAAATTTAGAAGAAACACCTTTTAAAATCGTCAGATAGGGATAGGGATAGGGATAAGAGAGGCGGCCACAAGGCCTACTGCTCCTTGACCTAAATAGATCTATTGTGCTCCTCTGCTAATTATAACTCACTGGCCAGTTTCAAGCTATTAACCAGCCTCCACAGCTTTGCCAGCGGTTCCTTGGTGTAGGATCTTGCTTGTGGTTTTTCTTGTCCTAGTTGCAAGAACCTGCACCTACATAGACCTTCACAAAAACATAAAATGTGTTCTGCAGTCTCCTCCTCTTGCTGGCAGTATCTGCACAGTGTTACTTCTGTCTGTACTCCCATCCAGTGCATGTGCTTTCTTAAGTGGCAGTGCCCCGTCAGGAGTCCAACCAGAATCCTGGTTCGGTTGTGGTTGCCTTCCAGTAGTTCTTTCATAAGTTTTGTGGATGGTCCTATGAATCTCTTCATGTGCCACATTAAGGATCCATTTTAAATGCATCCTCTTTTGTGGCAGGCTGCTAGGCCACAGTAGGGTTCTGGGCCCATAGAGTCCATGTTGGCTCCCTTTTTGACCAACGTGTTAACCTTTTCGTTGCCTCTATGCCCCGAATGTCGAGGGACCCATGCCAGAGTCAGGTCATTAATCAGCGGACTTCTGTCAGGGCCTCCATGCATTTCCAAACACTGTTTGCCTTTGCCTTGCATGAGGCTAAGGCCCTGAGAGCTGCCTGGCTATCTTCTGGTAATGTATTCCTATCCTTTTTATTTCTCTGGCACATTGTTCAATTGCTAAGATTTCAGACTGGAAAACTGGTATACTTGCCTAGGTTTACCGTCAGTTCGGTCTTGGGGTTCATCCCAAAGACCCCAGCTCCTGTGCCCTTTTTGGTTTTGGAGTCGTCAGTATTCTTCCCGATCTGGTATCAGTACATTGTACTTCTTGGTGAAGTTATACTTTGGAGTAGTAGCATCAATTGGCATACCTAAAATGTCATCTGCCTGTATCTTCTCCCTCAGGTTCCATTGTTTATTCACATGGCCTATCGTACCAGATGGTATGGGCTGCTGCTCTGGCTTCTCCTTGGATTAAAATGTGAAGTGGTGGGAGGGTTTAACAAAACTTCCAGGGCCGCAGTTGGCGCTGTGCTTATGGCACCAGTGACACTGAGACACGCTTGTCTTTGGGTGCCACTTAGCAGCCTTATTGCTTTGACCTGAAGAGATTTGGTCCACCATATCACCGACTCTTATGTCAACATTGGTTTTATGACAGGTGTATAGCCATAGGGTCATTTTGGGGTTTAGACCCCAGTTCTTGTGCAGAGCCTTCTGCACCTTCCCCAGACAATTTTTGCTCTTTGGGTAGTTTTAGTTAAATGTGAGTTCCATGTGAGCTGCTGATCTAGTGTAATCCCTAGATATTTGGCCTCCTTGGAAAACGGAATCAGAGTCCTATCTAGGCTTGGAGTTTTTGAGCTTCCTGTTGTCCTCTTCCTTGTGAATGGAATCACTATGGTCTTGTGGGGGTTGATAGATAACTTCTCCCTTGTGCACCTGTCAACCAGATTGAGAGCTCGGCTCACGATGTTCGCATGGCAGCCTTTTACTACTATGGCAAGGTTGTCCGCATAGCCTAGGCAGTAGAGTCCTTCTTGTTCCATCATTTGTAGGATTTCGTCTACCAGCATCATCCACAGG